TCACCGAAGGATGCGGTTAGCTCCGAAAGCGGAGTTGCGTATCCGAAGGATGTTGGGTGACTCCAATAAATGAAGTGGGTGAAGGAATGGTTTAAGGGCATGTCACGGGATGTCGGAGGTCCGTCAGGATATCGGAGCAAATCCGGGGTCTCCGAATGTTCCGACTCGGGACCGAGGTTCCGGGATGGGAGTAGCCAAGGTTCGGTGTGCCGCAACCAGACCGGAGCTGAGACAGTCAGGAGGGAAGGTGACTTGGAGAGTGGGGAGGCATGGTGTAGGGGATGGTGAAGTTGTTAGGAAGGTGTGATGTGGTGGGAGTGCGCGGGGTCGGGATTCCGGGATATGACATATCCAAATTAAATTGTTATATTGTCAATGCTCGTGCCTGTCCAACTCACTGTCTGTGCACAATGCTGGCCACTGTCCAGAGGGGTGTCAGGACTGTTTCCCACGGTGTCAACATACTTTACACCAATGGATAGCCTGTTTGGATAGCTTCCAAAATATACAATTTGGGACTAACTTGACCAGTAAATTATTGAGAAAAACGCAAAATACTTTTTCAGACACGAGTCTTTTGGGATAACTCTGTGCTCATGCTGACCACTGTCTAAAGGGGTGTCAGGACTGTTTCCCATGGCATCAACACACTTTACATCAATGAATAGCCCATTTGAATAGCTTAGAGTATGAGCACAGAGTTATCCCAAAAGACTCGTGTCCGAAAAAGTATTTTGCGTTTTTCTCAATAATTTACTGGTCAAGTTAAATTATATATTTTGGAAGCTATCCAAATGGGCTATCCATTGGTGTAAAGTATGTTGACACCGTGGGAAACAGTCCTGACACCCCTCTGGACAGTGGCCAGCATTGTGCACAGACAGTGAGCCACAAGCATTTGCAGACTCGTGTCCAAAAAAGTATTTTGCATTTTTCTCGATAATTTATGGATCAATTCAGTCTCAAATTATATATTCTGGAAGCTATTCAATGGGGCTATCCAACTATGTGAAGTGTGTCTAGACCGTGGGAAATAGTCTTAACACCCCTCTGGACAGTGGCATAGACAGTGAGCTGGACAGGCACGAGTATTGACAATATAACAATTTAATTTGGATAACTCCACTACAATACAGTGTAAGATTAGTGGGAATTGCCGAATAAACGAATGTATTTTTCCTTATGTGACCCATGGCTTATTCCATACATGAATACTAGGTTGATCCCATAAGCTCAGGGATGATCGCCCATTACAAAATAAGGATACACAAACGTCAAGAGTTGGCTCGGCCATCGTTGGCAGTTAGTACTAATTAGGTAGCCCATATGCACATGCATCTCCACTGGGTGGCGCGGTTACATGCATATGATAAATGCCTCCGTTCATATGCATCCCATCAAATTCACGCGCTCGGTTCGTTAATAGGCGCGCAAGCGGCGCCTATTAGTTGGATAATATTACGTAATTGCTCCATCACACCATCCACAATCACTTAAGCGCGCAACATCCCCAATCCCTCGATTGATGCTCCGCACATCGATCCTTGTTGTGTAAGACGACGCTTCGGTTGATCATATCGTTCCGTTTGATGCTTTATCATGTCGTACCGACAGAGCGGATCGTGTCAGACGTCCCGCAAATTTCTCAGAACCGACGCTAACACAACGACAATACATCATTGCACCAATAATGTATGCATGTGCCCCATAGTACTGCGCGGCGAGGACCGTGGCGAGACAGACAGAATCAATTTTTACCCGAAGCCTGAAGTAATATTCCAAGGCTGGGCATCCTTTCGCTAGTACTGTTCAACTAGTTGCGCTCATGAGTTACAATTGATCAAATTCTCTTCTACGAATTTTGGGATTTATTAATTGGGAAGATGGACGTGAGGTGTCAGGGGCGTCGAGGAATGATCACTCATCTTTTCAATCTATCCTTCAATAGGACTATCCTGATTGTGGGGCGTTTCAAGCGATTACAGTACAACTGATGAATTCCAGGGGTGCATCGGGCCCCCTGCCAGCCTCCCAAACTCTTCATAGGAACGGGTGGTTGACGCCTTGACGAAAGGACATTTCCCCCCCTGTCACCTAGTCCTCGTGGCAATCACCCAGAGGCGCCCTCTGCATCGATCCACGCCCATAGTTTTTTTTTCTTTACTTTCCCACACACGATCGGATGGTTATAGCAACCCTCGATGTGTATGTCGCAGATATCTACCATCACCACGCGAGCCACAAGGAACATTGACCAACTTGGGCCTCCTCTGTATGTCTACCCACTCCACTGTCCTTACGGGGTCCGACTCACTGCTTCCATATATGCTCTTCGCAAGCACTGACCCGAAAGTACACACAACAGCCCATATATTCCTTTTTTGGGAACAGTCGGGTTCAACTCACACTCTGCCAGGTATATATATCCCACTCCCGGCCACTCATCTTTAGGAACTGCATGCGCACGCGAGGCAAAACGTGGCCTCGCCGGTTTCACTGCCGTCCAATCATGTCGATCACGGGGCGAGCGCATCGGAACGGCCGCCCCGAGTTTTTTTTTGAATGACATGTTGAGACCCCTTGAGAGCGTCATCAGCCAGTTCCAGGGTGTATGATGTCGGATGGATGGCGTCTCGCGCCAGAGTCCAACACATTCTCCGATCATGGGGAGCGCTTCGCAGATGTTTGGAGATTCCTGAGCGCTCGAGCTAGCTCCGGGGTGCATGGATGGCGACTAGCTCACGCCAGAGTTTAACATTTGCTTCGATCACAGAGAGCGCCTCGGAATGCCTCCTAAGACTCCCGAGTGAATATATGGAGCGCTTGGGGCCAAGTTCGGGGTGTACAATGTGGGTAGATGCCCATGTCAGAGTCAAAACACTTTCTTTAATCAGACGGAGCGTCTCGGAGTGCTGCCCAAGGTTCCGAAAGTGGTACTTTGAAGATTATGGAGCACTTGAGGGCTAATTTCTTGTAGGACTCTGCACAAGGCCAACGACAGAGCGCAACAGAATTATTTGGCAAATCCAAGATTACCGCTCATATACATGTATTTGACCCAAATCTGAATGACTGCTTTGAAAGTCCGATCAACGGTCAACTGAAGGAACATGAGACTGAATAAGAGCGCCTCATGATCGCTGTCGACGATTCATACAAGGGAACGATCGATGAAATACCAATTGTGCCCTTCCGTTCTCACGCGGACTTCCAACCCAGTGCATTATTTGCTGACGGGGGGAATGTGTGAATTGGCACATAAAGCGCTTCTAGCCGCTGGTTGAGGTGATACACGAGATGCCAACATTGCGTAATAGAACTTGCTCAGATAGCATCTCTCGAGGAATGAAATTGGCAACGTAGCTTCTTTCCGGGACAAATCGTCGATCGGTCCTAAATCCTTCATAAAGCAAAAAAGGTGCTTGTGCAGGATTTCGACGCAGCGCAAGGGCTATTCTGGGATTTTCTCTCCTCGCATCCCACTGAGAAACGATGAGGCATGGGCGATTGTGAGATTCTGTCCATCAGAAGGATTGATGTAGAGTACGAATCGGCATGTCATAGTCCCCAACTCGACCCCCGAGATGAGGGGTGCAAGTTCAGCTAGATGTCCGATCCCAGGAATAGTGGTAGAACAACATCCCAAGCCGCAACAGACAGTGGGTGCTGTGCCATTGAGAAAGCTCCCGTCACAATCGGGTACTCATCGTTCCAATCACACTTCTCCAATATATAGGCTATCCGTCGCTTTCTCAGCGGAAGCCTTCGATCGATTCGCACTACCATCAAAGAATTCTGTCAGGAGAACAACCAGTCTCCCTCATCTAGCAGTGAGACACGGTACTGATCCAAATGAACAAGCCACCCGCTCGTTCTGATATGTCTCGAGCCAATTTATCGAGTTGATCATTTTAGTTGGGGATGCATATCCTTCAATCTGCATAGATGTAGATATTGCAGTACTGCACATTAGCACCACCCGAGAGACTAATGCTGACGCGATCAAGGAAGTGAGAGGTAGCGATCAACGAGGTCAGAGGTGACAAAGAATCTGAAGCATCAAAGAGGATGTGTTTTAAGAGTGTTATTCGAAGAGTGTTCGTGGTGCTGCCTGTACACGTTGTATCTGTGGCGAAAATAAAGTGCGCCAAACGGCGGGAAGAGTAGGGATGTTGACCGGCACCGGCCGAGACGCGGCCGTAAACAGCGATTCACGTTTCTCGCTATCCTCCATGTTGCTGACACCACGTCATGACACGCCCGAGCAGTCCTGGTGTCTTCCGAGTTGAATCTTGGTGGGCGACAATGGGATCATTGAGAAATTCTCTACTTCACGTGCCAACCGATCCTGATTTTTTTGCTATTGCATCAATTGTCAGGTTTGTTTTTAGCTATGTGGTTGATAGAGCGGTAATGTAACGACAAGTATCAAGCCTCTATGCTTGTCCGAGACCCATTTCTTAGGCGTGCAAAGTCGGTGCCCGGCCACTTACTGGCATCCTAGTGATGCCCATGTGAAAGCTGATTGCACTCCAAGACCCTGATGAAAGGCCAGACTGGATCGATCACAGCCTCCACTGACGTACTTCGCGTATTACCGCCGGCTCTCTGTACAAGCGGGCGCCACAACCAGTACCCCCCAAACTACATGGTCCTTGCTCGTTCATATCTAGTTCTCGCTCCTAATCACATTCATCCTGCTTCCAGTTCTGGGCGGCACTGTAATACTGGTTCTCGTACAGTAAACTTATATACCCTGGGATTTAGCGCTGTGCGTACTTATCATCCATACATACCAATTGCCTAACCAGTCCGGGTCATACCACCGCTAGCTGATACTGGATCAGAGGTCCATATGGTGTTGACCAAATAGTTAATGATATATCATATTCTTACTCGACTTTCCATAATCAGATGGCTCTGTCTTCTGAGCATTTAGGGGGTCACACGTGTATTGCGCGCCCAAAGCTCTCTCTCCATCCACTTGCTCGCTATCAACCATGTCGCTACGGGAAAAGGCTGAAACTCTCAGGCAGACGGTCGATAATCTCGTGGCGGGAGTTGACATGGCGGTTCCAATTCTCAGGGCTGTGAACGCTACCGCTGATTGGTGCCCCCCTCTAAAGATGGCTACTGGCGGTGCACTCGCTATCCTTGACGAGGTTAAAGTCGGTAATGAGTCGAGCTTGATTGTGAATGAAAGCTCATGCCAGTTTGCTCCACGTAGAAGTTTAAGGAGAACAAGGAGCAATGGGCTAGTTTTGGTGAATACGTAGCTAGCACTGCGGCCAAGGTAGTTTCAGCCATAAAGTCTTATGATACGTCAGCGAAAGAAGCAACGTCATGGACGGAGGGCGTCACCGAGCTTGGGAGGCATGTGGTATTGATTGTTGGTGGTTTCAGATATCATACTTACGTCCAGTACCAGCGCGCTACAGGAGATCCAGTCCAAAATCAAACGAAGAGTTAAAGAACTAGAGGAACGGTCAGCTGTAAGAAATGCATGGACCCACTTGAAAGACCCTGGGAAAATTGAGGGCCTAAAGAGAGATTTTGACAAAGCGTTGGTATCGTTTCAGGTAGCTTTCCTCACGGTGTTGTTCCATAATCATTCTGAATTTTGACCGGTGCAGCTTAAGACGAACATAATAACCGGAGTCAAATTATCGACCATAGAGGACAGCTTAGACCGTCTGGAGAGTGACCCAATCCTTAGTAGTCTCCGATACCCTCAAATCGCCCACCATGATTCAACAGTGGCGTGCCTAGAAGGCACCAGGGTGGATCTCACGGAGCGTATTATGAACTGGTGTCGTAACACCGGGGATAACGAGAACCGGCTGATGCTACTGACCTCTGTGGCCGGCGCTGGCAAGACTTCGATTGTGCACACAATTGCAGATAGATGTAACAAGGAGGCTATCTTATTGCTGTGCTTTTTCTTCAGGGTTGGCGAACAGCCACGGCCGGACTGTTTATTCAGCGGCATTGCTCAAGCTCTAGCAAGCCGTGATGCAGATTACCGCGCCTTCATTATCTCTGCCCTTCGAAAAGACCCCACCCTCTCAACAGCTCCGTTCACGATGCAGTTCGAGGAATTGGTGGCTTCACCTCTCCATATCCTTCGGCGTCCCAGGCATCCTATGGTGGTCGTTATCGATGCTTTAGACGAATGTGACGAAGAAGCATATCAACCCCTTGCTAAGATTCTCTGCGAGGAAGTACCCAAGTTACCATCTTCCATAAAGTTTTTCGTTACTTCAAGACATGTTGATCTTGTTAATCGCTCCCTCTCACGCCATTTCCCTATCAATCACCTCACCATCGACCTCCTGGATGACACAAATGTGCATGACTGTGCTGCGTACATCCGTTTCCAGCTACAGGAGCTTAAGAATTGGCATCCCAATTTAGCGCATAAACTCCAAAATGAGGATAGTGCGGTGCAGGAGATCTTGGATCGAGCGGGTGGCTTGTTTATTTGGATCAGCACCATCTTTCGTTACATGAAGAAGCCTAGGAAGGATCCTATGAGAACACTATCAAGCCTGCTTGACACCGGCACGGAACGATCAAAGGTGCCGACTGAGAAGATGATGGATGACCTGTATACGAGGATTCTGAAGAAGTTTGATTGGGAGGATGAAGATTTCGCGCACGACTACCCGATTGTGATGGGAGCGATTCTCGTTGCTCAGCAGCCTCTATCTGTCACAGCCTGGGATGCAATATTGTCACCTTTCAATTCTTCAGTTCAATATGCGTTGGCCGAACTTGCTCCTCTGCTCTCAGGAGTTGAGGATCCCCACATTCCGGTTCGCATCTTACACCAATCTTTCCGCGATTTTATCCTTGATCGGATGCATCCCCAAAAAATCAGCTCTCATTGCGCTCCCGTAGCGGTGGGGGTGGAGAATGCCAGGGTTGCCCTGCAATGTACCGAGATTTTGAATAAGGGTCTCTGCTCTGTAAAGGGCTTAGGACAGATTGAAAATTTGTTCGAAAAGGATGAAATGCCGTGCATTCCTCCAAAGGAGTTATCTGAGCAGTTTTGTTATGCATGTCGCCACATCGTGCATCACCTCAGTGAGGTCCAGGAACCATCAGAGGAGCTTGCTGGGTCAGTTGGTATATTTCTGAGTCAGGAAGCAACTCGGTGGGTGGAAGTTTGTGTGCGAATGGAACGCTACGTCAGTATCTTGTGGCTCCCTGGGTGGGCTAAGGTATGGGTTATGAATTTTGTTAAAGAAACTACCTCATGGTGTTCCAGTTGGCTGTTGACCACAGGGCTGTTTATGCACTGGCTGAGGTGCTTGCCAGGCTTCCACCAAATTTGGTATTTTTTTCAAGATTCCAGGAAGCATATGAGACAGCAAATGATTCTGTCCTACTCTACCGTTGCCTTGTTGTGGACTCAAGTTCCTACACCCTGGATTTGGCCCATTCACTCAACAATCTGTATGTAACCCTATCCAAACTTGGACAGCACTCGGAAGCACTCGGATTCATCGAAGAGAGCATCAAACTCTGCTGCCAGTTAGTTGCTGTTAACCCAGGATCACACAACCCAGATCTGGCCGCGTCACTTGTCAATCTACATTATGCTCTTTCCCATCTCGGACGGCATTCGGAGGGGCTCCCATTCATCGAAGAAAGTGTCAAACTCTACCGCCAGCTAGTTGCTGTTAACCCAGGATCATACACCTGGGATTTGGCCATATCACTCAGTAATCTGTCTAATGGCCTTTCAGATCTCAGACGGCACTCAGAGGGGCTCACATTCATTGAAGAAAGTGTCAAACTCTGTCGCCAGCTAGTTGCCATTAACCCAGGATCATATGCCCCGGATCTGGCCAGCTCACTCCACAATCTATGTATTACTCTGTCAGATCTCGGACGGCACTCGGAGGGGCTCCCATTCATCAAAGAAAGTGTCAAACTCTGCCGCCAGCTAGTTGCCGTTAACCCAAGATCATACACTGCGGATTTGGCCATGTCACTCAACAGTCTACATAATGCTCATTCCAATCTCAGACAGCACTCGGAGGCACTCCCATTCATCGAAGAAAGCGTCAAACTCTACCGTCAACTAGTTGCCATTAACCCAGGATCATACGCCCGGTATTTGGCCAGCTCACTCAACAATCTACATATTACTCTTTCCAATCTCGGACGGCACTCGGAGGCGCTCCCATTCATTGAAGAAAGCGTCAAATTCCAGCGCCAGCTAGTTGCCGTTAACCAAAGATCATACACCGCAGATTTGGCCATGTCACTCAACAGTCTACATGATGCTCATTCCAATCTCAGACAGCACTCGGAGGCACTCTCATTTATCGAAGAAAGCATCAAACTGTACCGCCGACTAGTTGCCGTTAACCCAGGATCATACGCCCCGTATTTGGCCAGCTCACTCGACGATCTACATACTACTCTTTCAGATCTCGGACGGCACTTGGAGGGGCTGCCATTCATCGAAGAATGTGTCAAAATCCGGCGCCAGCTAGTTGCCGTTAACCCAGGATTATACACCCCGCATTTGGCCAGCTCACTCAACAATCTACATATTGCTCTTTCAGATCTCGGACGGCACTCGGAAGCACTCCCATTCATCGAAGAAAGTGTCAAACTCTACCACCAGTTAGATGCCATTGACCCAGGATCATACACCCCGCATTTGGCCAGGTCACTCAGCAATTTACATATTATTCTTTCAGATCTCGGACGGCACTTGGAGGGGCTGCCATTCATCGAAGAATGTGTCAAACTCCGACGCCAGCTAGTTACCGTTAACCCAGGATTATACACCCCGCATTTGGCCAGCTCACTCAACAATCTATATAATTCTCTTTCCAAACTCGGACGGCATTCGGAGGGGCTCCCATTCATCGAAGAAAGCGTCAAAATCCGGCGCCAGCTAGTTGCTGTTAACCCAGGAAAATACACCCCTAAATTGGCCAAATCAGTTGAGAATCTACGTAATGCTCTCTCCAACCTCGGACGTCATTCTGAGGCACAAATGGTCCACATTTGAGCATGCTATCCTTATCATTGCATCGGCCACTTTACTACCTCCACATCGCAGGCAAGAATCATTGGATATTCGACTCGAGAATACCAACCTCAATTTTTTGATTACAAACCATTGATAAAATATTTACAGAGTTCACTAACAAATCACAATCGCATCTTTCAATTCCGCCATTTCTTTCTTTAACACATTTTCTCTCGCATCGCTCATCATCATCACTGAGGTACTGATCTCTGTTTCTGCGTACTAACCGATGACGTCAAGGTCTGGATCGATCGATGATGCAATATGTTGGCACAATGGAAAGTCGAAATCGACGACAGGTCGACACTGTCCGGTGTATCGCGTTAGGGACGTGCAAGTCGAGAACCAGTGAAAGCATAACGGTTTGCAGCGACAGCTTAGGGATGTCCAACTCTAAGAGAGACATATCAAGCTTTGCCTTAACATTTCGATAAGCAGTACACGTGTCGAAACCTGTCTTCGGATGGAGCACCAAGTCCGAAGTATGTAATGGAGTTGTGGTGACGACAATTAACCGTGGCGGGCTTCACGAGTGTCGGACTCGATTTGGAAAACTTGGCGCACCAACCGTTTCTATTCAGATTACCCACCGCCAACTTCATCGACCAATCTGCAGAGAATCCTGCTCAGAATCGGATGGAGCCCCCTTGTACTGTTCGATTCCGTGGTAAATTCAAGGTGCCAGGTTCTTCTCGACGCATATCATACTCTTTGAATAATGGGACAAGGCTGTAGCGGTGGGGCGGGGCGGTGGGGCCCGGGGATGCTAGTGGTGCGGGAAGGCGGAGTGCGAGTGCGAGTGTAGGGCCAATGAGGATGGTTGAGAGCGAGCAGCGAGGTGTGAGGGGTTCGAGCAGCTAGAGTATGTTTGCGGAGTATACCGGCAGGGACGGGAGGAACAAGGCAGGCCAAGTTTATTTTGCATGTGGAGGTTTTCGCAGGCGAACAGCGCGAGGTTGAGTATTTCTCAGTAAGTTTTCGTTCCACAGTTTTTTTTTGTTTTGTTTTGTACAGGGCTAATGATGGTGACCCCGGTTGGTCTTCTAGAGCACTTGACTCAAATGATTGATACGAGCGTAACTCGTTTTCGTAGCGGTGGAGGTGATAATGTGCTCTGAAATGCCGGGATCATCCTGGACTCGACTTGGCTCCGTTCTTTCTTCCAGACCCTCTAGTACATAACAGTAACATCACCTCCCTCTGCACCTCCCGCTTCCGATCCAACGCCTGTGATGACCTGGCTCGTGGATTGAAGCTTGTCCACTTTTTTCTCGCGCGTTGCAATTTCCCCCCTCTCGTGAAGGGCTGAATGCTCGCGTTGCAAGCCATCTTCGCATGGAACCCCCCTTGTCCGCACCCGTCCATCCTTAACTGCCAGGCACAGGCAACAAACTTGGCAGTCTCTCCTCGCGGCTCAGACTATTGTGGAGGACTTTCCTCCCGCCACTTGAATGTTCGACCTAATTTGGATATTGGCCTGCCGATGGGGGGCTACGGTGACGTCAAGTGAACCCGTCTATGCTTCCGCTCTCGGGTCCTTTCAATTGCTTCATAATCTGACTCACGAGCCCATGCAAGTTGCCCTCCCCGTCATTTCTTTCCACTATTCATAGTTCGCCGTCATGCATTATTATTAACTCTTACTCATGACCTGGTGGCATACACACATGCGTCAACAGGAAATCTCCAAATTATCCCATCCCATCTTATTTTTCGTTTTCGTTTTCCAATTAACCTCGTTGTCGTTTCACTCCATTCTCAGTTCTGTCCTGCGTTCGGGTGAGATGGAAGTGCTGGCGCTGGCGCAGGTTGATCTAATTTCTTTTTTTGATCCATTCTCGCTGGTTAGTCAATGCAAGCGAGGGAGAGATCGAAGAAGATGGATTGCTTGAATGGTATTTGGAGTTGTGAGGCTGAGGGTGGAGGGACCGGAATCGGGTTGGCGTAGGACTCAGCCGATTGGACCGAACTGGAGTTCACGTTGGGAATTGAGATTTGGTGTGGGGAAAAGCACGAAAATGCATATGCTCCATCGAGATACGTTTACAACTGATCGAATTGTAATGAGCTGCCTACATAGTCTCCCCATCAGACACCTCTCACTCGGCTTCCCTTCGCTCCCATATAACGTCCCCATGCACTACTTGTATTAAATCAGCCTCGTGAATGCACGTACATTTTAACCCTCACTCTTCATTCTCATCCTTTCCCGCCTTCTCCTTTTATCCCCGAACCGCGGGTGCATTCCTCCTATTCCATCCCATTTGTCTTTCTTGCTTGAACTTCTGTTTCCTTTCGTCTTTCTGGGAGCCTGAGGCCATTTATGCATGTACGCAGCATGCAAAGTGGTGATTAGTTCAGAAGCTACTTTGCGAATTGAGTGTGAATACAGTTCCAGTACGGTGTGCTGTATAGGGGGACGCGAATCATGCGAATCCATTGTACATACATGACAGGTTGGTCCTCACGAATGGACCGGCTCCGCGACTGTGCGCCACCCGGATCATAATATCAAGAAATTAATGTCGATTACTACTATGTCGATCTTCGTGAATCGATCAGCATGAATTAACACTCTAGAGTGAATGAGGAAGCGCGCTAATGTAGCACTTATGTCAGCGGTGGTAGAATGCGATAATATTAATGTTTGCCCCGTCACTTATGTAATATTACTCGGCACGAAACCGCCGTGATAATCGCTACTCGATGGCATCAGTCGCTTGGCGTTTAATCAAGGACAACCTTGGCAGATATCCTGCCGTGCTCTTGTTTGTAAAAGTGCAATCCTAGCTCAGACAACGCTTTGCATACCCTTTCTCCTCGTTCTCCAACTCGCTCTGTTTCTGGAGGCTATTGTTTCGGATGTTATTGCGCCAACATGCTTTCCAGGATCGCTATATACTTTGGCTGATGGCCCTTGCACTCCCAAACTCGTACGGCAACACGAATGATCTAACACTAGCTCTCGTGGCCATTCGATGGCTTGGATTATTCGAAAACCTCTGGTACTGTCCTGTCTACCTACTGTACGCGTGATACTCGAGGAGGTCCTAGGGAATGGTGGAGTATTTGACAGCTAGCGTCGTTGCCGAGTCTGGAGGGCCACCTACTATTCCTATCCCAACGTGTGGACACAGTATTACCACACGGTCCAAAGCGGACGCCATTCCTCAGTATTGAGAAACATCATTGTTGCATCAATGGACGGCGACATGGTCAATCGTTCCTATTGGGAGCGTATTCTCCTTCATGATGTGGAACCTCCTCGTTTTGGTATCATTCCAATTCGTTAGCCTCTTTCTCACATTCATCCTTCACGACACCATGTGCGCAGCCAAGTCTGGCAGTCGGGCCATTTCACCTTTTATTTAGTATATGGAGAAGTTCCGACGCTGTCGTCCCCGTGGCTAGTGATGACCTGACCACTGCTTCTTGGGGTGCATAGATTGACCCAGGAAGCGAAATGACGCTTGCCTCTGTCCAAAGCATTCATCGCGTGTTCACTGTTGCCAGCACTGTCCCTCCATTCGGGATATGGACGTTCTATCCGAAGAGCGTCCTCTCCGGTGTAAATCGAAAATATTGGCTGATGGTCCGAATGGATTTCAAAGAATCTCAGCCTTAGGCATGGAGAGTAATTAGTTTGATTGCAGGGCCAGTTTCGCTCAGGCGCAATCATAAATGTGGGGATAAAATGCTGGGACGAAATTAGTCGGTCAGCAAAAATGATTGCACGATTCCGAAGTCAAATACAAGGGCCCCAGACGACACCTCATATATTTTTCGTTTTAAAGGAGCGGTGCAAAGTGCGGGTACGTATGCCGAAGTAGCATGAGAGCATTGGGTAGGATAGCCGAAGACCATTGATACCATTGTGAAAGCATTGTTGCTTGACTTCCTCCTGACAGAGGTTAGTACACGAAAGCTGGGGCTACTGAGTATCGGAAACTTGTGCCACCGATGTATCGGCGCATAGACAAAGACTATCGACCGAATTGAAGCGCATCGCCAACTGTCGTACGGTACGGGAACTAAGCCCCTTATAGAAGTGCGTTGCGACACGTCATGACACACTCGATCACGTCAGTCCACCAATTCTCAGGTTTGTTCTTAGCTACGTGGTTGATATAGGGCGGTAACTTAACGATAAGTACCAAGCCTCTACGAAACTCATTTCTCAGGCACCAACGGGCGGAAAGTCTGCACCCAGCCGAAGCGAACGCCGTGACCAGTGCCTCGATATGACGTCCCTGCCCGTTTAGATACTGGTTATCGTGCAATTAGACTGGATGTACCGATTACCTTAACGGGTCCGGGTGATGCCGCCGCTAGAATTCGCCGCTGGTGTCAACCAAATAGTCAATGCATACATCATATCCTTCCTCGATATTCCATAATCAGATGCATGCCTCGTGGCTCTAGCTTCTGGGCATTTAGGGGCTCACACCTTGCGTTGCGCGCCCAAAACTCTCTTTCCTCCATCCACTCGTCCGCTCTCTAGTATCAACCATGTCGTTGCGGCAAAAGGCTGACACTCTCAGACAAACGATCGATAATCTCCTCGTGGCGGGGGTTGACATGGCGGTTCCAATTCTCAGGGTTGTCAATGCTACCGCTGATTGGTGTCCCCCTCTAAAGATGGTCACTGGCGGTGCACTCTCCATCTTCGACGAGGTTAAAGTTGGTAATGATTCAAGCTTGATTATGGATGAAAGCTCATGCTAGTTTTCCCCACGTAGAAGTTCAAGGAGGACAAGGAGCAATGGGTTGGTTTTGGTGAATACGTAGCTAGCACTACGGCCAAGGCAGTTTCAGCCATAAAGTCTTATGATATGTCAGCGGGGGAGGCAGGGTCATGGGTAGAGGGTATCGCGGAGCTTGGGAGGTATGTTGTATTGGTTTTGGTTTTTCCGATATCATCTTACGTCCAGTACCAGCGCGTTACAGGAGATATTGTCCGAAATCGGACAAAGACTTAGAAAACTAGAGGAACGGTCGGCTGTAAGAAATGCATGGTCCCACTATCGAGACCCTGGAAGAATTGAGGGCCTAAAGAGGAATTTAGGCAAGGCGTTGGCATCGTTTCAGGTAGCTCTCCTCGCAGTGTTGTTCCATAACCATTCTGAATTTCGACCGGTGCAGTTTAGGACGAATTTAACAATTGGTGTCAAATTATCGACCATAGAGGACAGCTTAGACCATCTGAAGAGTGACCCAATCCTCGGTAGTCTTCGATACCCTCAAATTGCCCACCACGATTCAACAGAGGCGTGCCTAGAAGGCACTAGGGTGGATCTCACGGAGCGTATTATGAACTGGTGTCGTAACACCGGGGACAACGAGAACCGGTTGATGCTACTGACCTCCGTCGCTGGTGCTGGCAAGACTTCGATTGTACACACAATTGCAGATAGATGTAACAGGGAGGCTATCCTGTTGCTGTGCTTTTTCTTCAGGGTTGGCGAACAGCCGCGGCCGGACTGTTTATTCAGCGGCATTGCTCGAGCTCTAGCAAGCCGTGATGCAGATTACCGCACCTTCATTATCTCTGCCCTTCGAAAAGACCCCACCCTCTCAACAGCTCCGTTCACGATGCAGTTCGAGGAATTGGTGGTTTCACCTCTCCATATCCTCCGGCGTCCCAGCCATCCTATGGTGGTCATTATCGATGCTTTGGACGAATGTGACGAAGAAGCATATCAGCCCCTTGCTAAGATTCTCTGCGAGGAAGTACCCAAGTTACCAGCTTCCATAAAGTTTTTCGTTACTTCGAGACATGTTGATCTCGTTAATCGCTCCCTCTCACGTCATTTCCCTATCGATCACCTCACCATCGATCTCCTCGATGACACAAATATGCATGACTGTGCTGCATACATCCGTTTCCAGCTACAAGAGCTTAAGAATTGGCATCCCAATTTAGCGCATAAACTCCAAAATGAGGATAGTGCGGTGCAGGAGATCTTGGATCGAGCGGGTGGCTTGTTTATTTGGATCAGCACCATCTTTCGTTACATGAAGAAGCCTAGGAAGGATCCTATGAGAACACTATCGAACCTGCTCGACACCGGCACGGAACGATCAAAGGTGCCGACTGAGAAGATGATGGATGACCTGTATACGAGGATTCTGAAGAAGTTTGATTGGGAGGATGAAGATTTCGCGCACGACTACCCGATTGTGATGGGGGCGATTTTCGTTGCTCGGCAGCCTCTGTCTGTCACAGCCTGGGACGCAATATTGTCACCTTCTCTTAATTCTTCGGTTCAATATGCGTTGGCCGAACTTGCTCCTCTGCTCTCAGGAGTTGAGGATTCCCACATTCCGGTTCGCATCTTACACCAATCTTTCCGCGATTTTATTGTCAATCGGATCAATCCTCAAACAATCAGCTCTCATTGCACTCCCGTAGCGGTGGGGGTGGAGAATGCCAGGGTTGCCCTGCGATGTACCAAGATTTTGAACGAGGGTCTCTGCTCTGTAAAGGGCTTAGGACAAATCGAAAACTTGACCGAAAAGGATGAAATGCCGTGCATTCCTCCAAAGGAGTTATCTGAGCACTTTCGTTATGCATGTCGCCACATTGTCCATCACCTCAGTGAGGTCCGGGAACCATCAGAGGAGCTTTCTGGGTCAATTGGTATGTTTCTGAGTCAGGAAGCAACTCGGTGGGTGGAAGTCTGCGTGAGAATGGAATGCTATGTCAGTATCTTGTTACTCCCTGAGTGGGCCAAGGTATGGGTTATGAACTGTGTTAAAGAAACTATCTCATGGTCTTCCAGTTGGCTGTGGACCACAGCGCTGTTTGGGCACTGGCTAATGTGCTTACTCAGCTTTCGTCGAATTTGGTATTTTTTTCAAGATTCCAGGAGGCATATGAGGCAGCAAATGATTCTGTTGTGCTCTGCCGTTACCTTTTCTCTGTGGACTCAAGTTCCCACACCCCACATTTGGCCGAATCACTCAGTAGTCTATATAGAGCCCTTCACAAACTCGGACGGAACTTGGAGGCACTCTCATCTGTTGAAGAAAGTGCCAAACTCTACCGCCAGTTGGTTGCCATTCACCAAGGATCATACACCCCAAATTTGGCCATGTCACTCAATAATCAATATTTCGCTCTTTCCAATCTCGGACAGCACTCAGAGGCACTCCCATTCATTGAAGAAAGTGTCAAACTCTTCCGCCAGCTAGTTGCTGTTCACCAAGGATCATACATCCCGGGTTTGGCTGCATCACTCAACAGTCAATATTCAGCTCTTTCCAATCTCGGACGGCACTTGGAGGCGCTTTCATTCATCGAAGAAAGTGTCAAACTCCGGCGCCAGCTAGTTGCTGTCAGCCCAGAATCATATATGCCGGATTTGGCCATCTCACTCAACAATCAATATTTTGCTCTTTCCAAGCTTGGACAGCACTCGGAGGCGCTCCCATTCATTGAAGAAAGCATCAAACTCTACCACCAGCTAGTTGTCATCCACCCAGGATCATACACCCCGGATTTGGCCTTGTCACTCAACAATCTATATACTGCTCTTTCAGATCTCGGACAGCACTCAAAAGCGCTTCCATTCATTGAAAAAAGTGTCAAACTCTACCGCCAGCTAGTTGCCATTAACCCAGAATCATACACCCCAGATTTGGCCATGTCACTCAACAATCTATGTGATGCGCTTCACAACCTCGGACAATACTTAGAGGCACTCCCATTCATCGAAGAAAGCGTCAAACTCTTCCGCCAGCTAGCTACCATTCACCCAGGATCATACACCCCATATTTGGCTGTGTCACTCAATAATCTACGTAATGCTCATTCGCATCTCGGACAGCACTTGGAGGCCCTCCCATTCATTGAAGAAAGTGTCAAACTCTACCGCCAGCTAGTTGCCATTAACTCAGGATTATACACCCTGAATTTGGCCGTGTCACTCAGCAATCTATGTAATTCCCTTTCCGATCTTGGACGGCACTCGGAGGCGCTCCCATTCATCGAAGAAAGTGTCAAACTCCGGCGCCAGCTAGTGGCTGTTAACCCAGGAGCATACACCCCAAATTTGGCCATGTCACTCAAAAATCTATGTAGTGCTCTTTCGAATCTCGGACGGCACTCAGAGGGGCTCCCATTTGTTGAAGAAAGCCTCAAACTCTACCGCCAGTTAGTTGCCGCTCACCCAGGATCATACACACCGGATTTGGCCATGTCACTCAACACTCTATTTAAAGCTCATTCGGATGTCGGACGGCACTCGGAGGGGCTCCCATTCATCGAAGAAAGTGTCAAACTCTACCGCCAGCTAGCTGCCGTCCACCCAGGATCATACACCCCGAATTTGGCCTTGTCACTCAACAACCTATATGGTGCTCTTTCGAATCTCGGACGGCATTCAGAGGGGCTCCCATTCATCGAAGAAAGTGTCAAACTCTACCGCCGGCTAGTTGCCATCCACCCCGGATCATATGCCCCAGATTTCGCCATGTCACTCGACAATCAATCTTTGGCACTTTTGAAACTCGGACAGCACTCGGAGGCGCTCCCATTCATCGAAGAAAGTGTCAAAATCCGTCGCCAGCTAGTTGCTGTTAACCCAGGAACACACACTCCTAAATTGGCCAAATCAGTTGAGATTCTACGTTATGCTTTCTCCAACCTCGGACGTCATTCCGAGGCACAAATGGTCCACATTTGAGCATGCTCTCCTCATCATTGCATCAGCCGCTTTACTACCTGCACATGGCAGGCAAGCTTGAACTGGATATTCGGCTCGAGAACACCAACCTCAATTACTTTGATTGCAAACTATATTGATAAAATATTCACAGAGTTCACTAGCCGCAACTGCACCCATAACAAATCACAGTCACATCTTTCAATTCTGATATCGTATCCATTTCTTTCTCTAACACATTTTTCATCGCATCGTTCATCGCTGATGTACTGATCTCCGTTTCTGCATCCTAACCGATGACATCGAGGTCTGGATCGATCGGCACGTTGGCACAATGGAAGGACGAAATCGTCGACATGTCGACACTGTCTGGCGGGAGTGAAAGTCGAGAACCGGTGAAAGCATAATGGTGTGCAGTGACGGGGATGTCCAACTCCACTATATACGTCAGGGACACACACATCAAGCTTTGACTTGACACTATTATCTTGATATGGCGGGCTTCATGAGTGTCGGGACTTGGCGCATTCCCCGCATCAACCGTTTCCATTCAAATTACCTACGTACCACCACTGGCCACTCTGCATAGCCTACCGAGAATCCTGCTCAGAATTGGATGAAGGGACTCCTCGTACTGTTCGAGTTCGAGGTAATTCTTTTTCGACGCGTATCATACTCTTTTTGAATAAGAAGGATAGGGGATCGTGGACAAGGCTGTAGTGGGACGGAGCGGTGGGAATGCGGGTGGTGTGGGGAGGCGGAATGGGAGTGCGGGGAGGGTCAATGAGGATGTGAGTGAGCGGAGTGTGAGGGGTTTGGGAGAGCACCTAGTATATTTCTGGAGTATACCGGCAGGGCCGGGCAAGAAGGATTGAATAAGGCAGCCGAGGTTTTCGCACGCGAATAGCCCGAGGCTGGGTATTTCTCAGTAAGTTTTCGTTCCACAGTTTTTTTTTTCTTTTTTGTTCGGTCTTGTATAGGGCTAATGATGGTGATTTTGGTTGGCCTTCTAGCTTGACTCAATTCAAGTGACTGATACGACACATGTGTGTAACTCGTTTTCGCAGCGGCGAAAGAGGTGATACTACATAATGCGCTCGGAGACGCTGGGATCATCGCATGTAGACGCACTGGACTCGACTTGGCTCGGTTCTTCCTTCTAAACCCACTAGTAACAGTAACATCGCCTCCCTCTGCATGCCCCGCTTTCGATCCAAGGTCTGTGATGACCTAGCTCATAGATCGAAGCTTGTCCACTTTTTCTCGCTCATTACAAGCCATCTTCGCATGGAACCCCCCTTGTCCGCACCCGTCCATCCTTGACTGCCAGGCACAGGCAACAAACTTGGCAAAGATTTTTTTCTTGCCTAATAGCCGAGTTCCACCACCTGAGTGTCGAGATGTTCGACCTGATTCGGACATTAGCCTACCGATGGGGGCCTACTACAGTGATGCTAACCCATCCCGTCTCTGGTTCCACTCCTTATGCCCCTAATTGCTTCACCAACTCCTACGCACAAATTGCCGTCCCCATCATTGCTTTGTACTATTACACGATCACCGTTCGCTATGATGCACCCTTAACTTTCACTCATGCCAGCCGGGTTGCACACACGCACACGTATCAACAGACAATTCGACCCAAATTATTCGATCCTGCGTTTGGGTGAGATGGTGGTGCCGGGGCTGGTCGTGTGGATGATGCGATTTCCATTCTCGCTGGAGAAAATTAGGTGTGTCGTTTAGGAAGTGGATCATGCTGGTATCTGGAATTGTGAGGTTATCCCCGATCCGCGGCAGCTTTCCTCCGACGGACAACGACAGTTGAATTCACACTTTTGATATTCTTAGCATTCTCGGACGTTCAGAAGCTAAGGTGAGCCACCCTTGCGAATTGAGTGTGTGAATACAATTCCAGTACGGTCACACACTGTGTGCTATATATGTTGGAAAATGACATGGAAATGGTGCGAAAGTGCATGCTGCGGGGGCCAACAATCGACGACCAAGTGAACACCACAGTCGGCACCGAAACAGCTCGATCTAAATGAGGACGTTTTGCCGACCGATAGTGTTGTATATATGACCTTGTACTGGATGTCGTTCATCAAACGACGACATCCAGACATGATTCCCTACCTGGCCTGAAGGCTCTTCCCGCCCTTCTCCTGCTGAGATTTTTTGTTCAGTAAGCGGGATAGTAAGGTTGGTCCTAACCCTGGAATGGACCGGCTCCGGCGACCGTGCGCCACCCGGATCATAATTATTAGGAAGTTCATGTCGATCTTCGTGAATCGATCAACATAAAAGCGCGATGATGTAGTACTTATGTCAGCAGAGAGTAGCGATCAATTAACGCCGCTGCCCAGTTAAATAATATTGCTCGGCACGAAAAGCCACCGAGATTATCGCTAACTCGATAGTGTCAGTACATACTGTCTCTTTGCGTCTGATCAAGGTCAACCTTGGCAGTACGTTATCCTGCCGTACTCTTGTTCGTGTTCAAGTGTGCAATCACCTCAAATCCCCACTTCTACAACGAGCTCAGACAACGACCGCTTTCTCTTCGTTCTCCAACTCACTCTCAGGCTGTTTCCGAAGGCAACAGTTTCGGATATGATTGCGCTAACATGCTTCTAAGCTCGCTACCTTGGCTGATGGTAGCACTTGCACTCCCTAACTCGTATGTATGGCAACACGAATGACCTTAACACCTACAGATGCACCACCCATTAATTCGATGGCCTGGATTATTCTGAAAGCCATCATGTCTACCTATTGTGCGCGTGATACTCGTGGAGACCCTAGGGTATTCGATAGCGTCGTTGCTGAGTCTGGAGGGCCATCTGCTTACTCCTATCCCACCCTGTGCATCAAATTGGATCCCGCCGGCGGATACAGTATTACCACACGGCACAACTGAGCGGAGCCGTTCCTCGGCAGTATTGAAAAACGCCATTGTTGAACCAAGCGGCGACTCAATGGACAGCGACATTGATCATTGAGATCGTTCCGTTGGGAGCATGTTCTCCTTCATGCGGAATTCCCTTTGTTCTTTTGGTGCCATTCCATATTCGTTACCAGTCTCCTTCTCACGTTCCTCCGACTCCTCATTACACCACGTTGCGCAGCCAAGTTTGCCAGCAGTCCAGCCGTATTTACTTTCTGGCGCTGCCGTCCCCTCCCCCGTGCAGCTGCTAGCTCAAAGGCTTCTTGGGGTGCATAGGCTGGCCCAAGGAAGCGAATTGAATGATCATTGCCTCCTCCCTCCGTCTAGAGCACCCCTTCCTCGCATATTCACCGTTGCCAGCACTTGTCCCTCCATCTGGCAAGAGAATCAGCATTTCGGTCAGGGCAATTCACACAATCTGAGCGAACCAAACGGGGGGGGGGGGCTTACCCTTTCTCCAAGTTAATAACGATGACGCTGGGACGACTCGTTCATTCCGTGGATTTTCTGGCTCGTCAGACAGTAAGAGTGGAACTTCGTTCGAGTGGGGTAAAATGGTTGATGAGACGAAAGAGGACTTGGTGCGACATTCCTGAATGTGGAAGACCCCTTCAAGTACGCGTCTGGGATGAGCCTTTTTTCCCGCTCATGCTGGTATCAGTTTCTACGTACTCGGGTCATTCTAGCTTTCCATGTTGTTTGCCCATGGACTCATGCATAATATAATCTCAACGCTGTTCAGTTTGTTTTACATGATAGAGCCGTTTGATCTCAAGAACTGCTTCTGAAGTACTGGTCAACCATCTCCGCAGTCAGGTGGGGTACCCATCACGCGCATAGGATACCTTCTCCGCGGCCCGAGTGACAACGACCCTAGTACTCTGGACTCCGAGTTCATCTGTGGAAATGCTATTGGATCCTAATCGAACGGGTTTACGTGCCCAGCACCTGGTTTCAAACAGCTTTTAACATTGCTGTCTAACAGCCGAATTTAAGGCCCAGCTGAGGCACCGCTGAGTGAGGGTTCGGCATTGCATGTATCATACACAGTCGGTGAGAAAGATCTTTATGCGAGTGCTGCAATGTCATCTTTGAACTTGGTCCACTCCATCTCTACCAAGCAAGTAGTAGATTAACCATTGATCGAAGCCATTTCCGGGTAGCTAACAGCACACGTCAGAGTTCTTGCATGCTGCACTTGGAAGCACCATGCGCAGACATTGTAATTCCTACTCGCAGTTCGAGAGGTCAAAGCACCCTTCAGAGCCTTCGAACGATCTGCCGCACGCTCATCCCTGGAATCAGTTATACTCGGGGGGGGGACCAGGAATAATGGTGATGAGACATCAGCGGAGTCCTCGTTACAGCAAAATGTCGTAGAAAATCAGTCGCCGTCGCCTCTGCCTGCTTCCCTTGCAAGTGTCCAGACGTAGGGCACTTGACAATAATTGTGAAAGGGCGGAGAGGGAGGGTAAGAAGAAAAACAACTAGAACGAGACCGTTACGGAAAATGGCATAGTGAGGTGCAATAGGATGGTGATGGGAAGAGGCGCGAGGGCAGAGGAAGAGACCACATCATCATTGGTTGAGCTCCTTGTGCAGTTCAGTAAGAACCAGCGTCAACCACGGCTCAACCATTGTGGGACCCTTCGACATTCAGTACACCGATAGAAGTGAAGGAGATGTTCCTTCAACGCGCCCATTTGGTGTCGAGCACAGTAATTCGGTAATTCTGAACTGTGTCCTGTGACCGCTTGGATGTCAGGCTCGATTTCCAGGCGTTGTGAGCACAAAACCTATGCCTGAGTAGGAGTGCCACATGGACACATGCATGGGTTGAACGTGCGTGTAAGAGGCAGGATATCTGTGCACACTCACACTTGACGAATTAAACAAGGATACCGGAATGGAACGTCGCAACGAAATTGCGTTGGAGTGTCTCAGCCAGAGTGAGCATAATTGTATGGTTATGTATCGGCTTGAGTCAAGCCTATATAGATGTTGACGAGCACCGTAAGGATTGACTGGATTGACATGGTGTTTGACATGGTAGTGTTAAATAAGATAATTTCGAGCTCGGTGATCGCGCAGTCCTAAATGGCCAGCCAGTACATAGCCAGGGAACGAAAGCTAATTGCTGCACCGTGATTTTAAACCAAGAATTTGGCGAAAGAGCCTGGGGCCCCTTCACCGCGGGGAATCTTTGCTGCGTCGGAGTTGGCCGAACACATTGCGGATAGATCCTCGATTTCGCATCCCGTTTGCTTTTGCTCGATTGTGGTTTCACGAAAAACTGGGCTACTGGGCATCAGAAACTGGTGCCACTGATGTGTCGGCGCATCGCCAACTGTCAGTACATATACTTAGGTTCAGATTGAGTGGTGGCACTTTCTCGTTATCACCGTTTTCGAGTGGTTTGGTACCCCAGTACATACATTATCTCACACACTGTCCTATGTGTTTCGTAGGAGCAGAAGCACATGTTGAATTCGTTTGTGCATCGGGCCTTTTTTTGCGAGTCGTGAGCAGGGGAATATGCACATGCATATTGAGTTCGATGTCGGAAACGTTGTAATGCGTCACGAATTTTGACCGGGTGCTACAAGGTGTGTTACAAATTTTTATGCGTGTTACAAGGCGTTACGAAGTTTTATGAGGGTGTTAGGAATCTTGATACGCATTAGTCGCTCGAATCTATGAATTATAATATAATCAGCCTTTGTCCGACGCGTGCGCGTGCCATAACCGGCGCTTACCGTCGACCTTCTGTACGAAGCGAACGCCGCGATCTGTGCCGCAATATCATGTTCCATAGTGTCCTTGCTAGTTCATATCTAGCTTGCACACTCATATTCCAGTTCTAGGTGGCCGCATACTGGTTCTCTCCGATAGAGCCACCTGCCCAGGTTCCCCATAAGCCAAGTCATGGATCGTTGTTCTGGATTTTTAGCGTGCAAGCTATAGGTTGCTCATGAAAGCGCCAAAAACCTGTGGTGTCAACTAAATGTATTCAATACTGCTATCCTCAACTTCCATAACCGTACAAAGGCCTCGTGGCTCTGAGCATTGGCGCCCACACGTCTGTTGCGTGCCCAAAGCTCTCTCCATCAACTTGTCTACCACCAACCATGTCGTTGCAACAAGAGCTGAAACTCCGAGGCAAAAGATCAATGATCTCCTCGCAGCGGGGGGTAACCTGGCGGTGTTAACTCTTAGAGGTGTCGACGCTACCGCAAGTTGGTGCCCACCCTTAAAGAGTGCGACTAGCGCTGCACTCTTCATCTACGACGAGGCTCAAGTTGGTAACGATCATGCTCGTTTACGAATGAAAACTCACGCCGATTTGCGCCACGTAGAAGTTCAGGGAGAACGCAAAGGAATGGACTGATTTCGGTGAATACGTAGCGAGCACCATGGCCAAAGTATCTTCAGCCATAAAGTCCGATGATGTATCAGCGGAAGAGGTAGAGCCATGGGTAGAAAGTGCTACAGAGCTTGATGGGTAAGTTTATTCATTCTGGTGCCTTCGATATCGTACTTACATCAAGTCCCAGCGCGCTGCAGAAGATTAAGTCCGAAATCGAAAGACGGGGAAAGGTAGAGAAACGATCGGCTATCAGAAAAACATTCTCCTACTTGAGAGACCCGGGAAGGATCGATGGCCTAAAGAAAGACTTTGACAAAGCGTTGGCATCGTTTCAGGTAGCTTTCCTTACAGTATCGTTCCATAACCGTTCTGATTTTCGGCCATTGCAGGTTAGGACAAACTTGATAACTGGTGCCAAGTTAGCGGCCATAGAACGTCGTCTACACGAAGACAAAATTCTTGATAGTCTCCGATACCCTCATATTGCCCATGATGATTTCACTCAGGTGTGCCTGAAAGATACTAGGGCCGCCCTTATTGAGCGTATCATGGCATGGTGCCACAGCACTGGGGATAGCGAAAACCGGCTAGTGCTGTTGACTGCCGTGGCCGGTGCCGGCAAGACTTCGATTGCACTCACGATAGCCGAACGATGTGCCAGCGAAGGAGACGTTACCCTGTTACTTTGCTTCTTCTTTAAAGCGGGCGAACGGTCGCGGCCTGATTTCCTATTCAGCGGCATGGCTCGAGCTTTGGCAGACCATGACCCTATTTACCGCACTTTCATTACCTCTGCTCTTCGAGATGACCCTAGTCTCTCAACAGCTTCATTCGCGACGCAGTTCAAGAAATTGGTGGCTCCGTCTCTCCTCCATAAACCTCCAACTTCCAACCGTCCCATGGTGATCATCATTGACGCTTTAGATGAATGTGACAAAGAAGCATTCGAGCCCCTTGCCGAAATCCTTGCGGAGGAAGTGCCCAGGCTGCCATCCTCCATAAAATTCTTCATCACATCGAGACAATTTGATCTCGTGAATCGCTACCTCTCCCCCGATTACCCTATTGATCGTCTCACTATTGATCTCTTGGATGAGGCAAATGTGCAGGACTGTGCTAGATTCATACGATTCCAACTGCAGAAGCTAAAGAAGTTACATCGGGATTTACAGCGTAATCTTAAGGATGAGGATAAAATGGTACAGGAGATCTCGGAACGAGCAAACGGCTTGTTTATCTGGATCAGTACCATCTTTCGCTACATGAAGCTGGCCAACAAGGATCCTATGAGGACACTAGAAAGTTTGCTTGACACTGGTGGTGCCAAACGACCAGAGGTCCCTGCCGAGAAGATGATGGAAGACTTGTATACAAGCATTTTGAAGAAGTGTGCTTGGGAGGATGAAGATTTTGCGCACGATTACCCCCTTGTGATCGGAGCAATCTTCGTTGCTCAGCAGCCTCTGTCCATCACAGCCTGGGACTCAATTTTGTCGCCTTTCCTCAAGTCTTCTGTTCGATATGCGTTGGCCGAACTTGCTCCTCTGCTCTCCGGAGTTGAGGATTCCCACATTCCGGTTCGCATCTTACACCAATCTTTCCATGATTTTATTGTCGATCGGATTAATCCTCAAACAATCAGCTCTCGTTGCACTCCTGTAGCGGTGGGGGTGGAGAATGCCAGGGTTGCCCTGCAATGCACCAAGATTTTGAACGAGGGTCTCTGCTCTGTAAAGGACCTAGGACAGATTGCAAACTTGTCCGAAAAAGAGGAAATGCCGCGCATTCCTCTGAAGGACTTATCTGAGCACTTTCGTTATGCATGTTGCCATATCGTCCATCACCTCAGTGAAGTCCAGGAACCATCAGAGGTGCTTGCTGAGTCAGTTGGCATGTTTCTGAATCAGGAAGCAACTCGGTGGGTGGAAGTCTGTGTGAGAATGGAAAGCTATGTCAGTATCTCGCTACTCCCTGAGTGGGCTAAGGTATGGGTTATGAATTGTGTTAAAGAAACTACCTCATGGTCTTCCAGTTGGCTGTTGACCACAGCGCTGTTAGTGCACTGGCTGATGTGCTTACCCAGCTTCCGTGGAACCTGAGATTTTTTTCAAGATTCCAGGAGGCATATGAGGCAGCAAATGATTCTGTTATACTCTGCCGTTACCTTTTTTCTGTGGACTCGAGTTTGTACACCCCACATTTGGCTGAGTCACTCAACTGTCTAAACTTCGCCCTTGACGGACTCGGACGGTACTTGGAGGCACTCCCATTCATTGAAGAAAGCGTCAAACTCTACCGCCAGCTCATTGCTATTAATCCGGGATCATACACCCTGGATTTGGCTGTGTCACTTGACAATCTATACAATGCTCTTTCCAAACTTGGACAGCACTCGGAGGCACTCCCATTTATTGAAGAAAGCGTCAAACTCCATCGCCAGCTAGTTGCCATTAACCCAGGATCATACACCCCAGATTTAGCCTCGTCACTCAACAGTCTACACAATGCTGTTTCCAATCTTGGACAGCACTCGGAGGCGCTTCCATTCATCGAAGAAAGCATCAAACTCTACCGCCAGCTAGTTGCCATTAGCCCAGGATCATACACCCCAGATTTGGCCATGTCACTCAACTTTCAATATTTGGCTCTTTCCAATCTCGGACAACACTTGGAGGCACTCCCATTCATCGAAGAAAGTGTCAAACTCCGACGCCAGCTAGTTGCTATTCACCCAGGATCATACACCCTGGATTTGGCTATGTCACTCAACGATCAATATTTGGCTCTTTCCAATCTCGGACAGCACTTGGAGGCACTCCCATTCATCGAAGAAAGCATCAAGCTCTACCACCAGTTAGTTGGTGTTAACCCAGGATTATACACCCCAGATTTGGCCATGTCACTCAACAATCTGTACAATGCTCTTTCGGATCTTGGACGGCACTCGGAGGCGCTCCCATTTATCGAAGAAAGCATCAAACTCTACCGCCAGCTAGTTACCGTTAACCCAGGATCTTACATTCCAGATTTGGCCATGTCACTCAACAATCTATGTATTGCACTTTCCAATCTCGGACGGCACTCGGAGGCGCTCCCATTCATTGAAGAAAGTGTCAAACTCCGACGCCAGCTAGTTGCCATTCACCCAGGATCATACACCCCGGACTTAGCCGTGTCACTCAATAATCTACGTATTGTTCTTTCAGATCTCGGACAGCACTCGGAGGCGCTCCCATTCATCGAAGAAAGCGTCAAACTCTACCACCAGTTAGTTGCCATTAACCCAGGATCATACACCCCGGATTTGGCCATGTCACTCAACAACCTACGTAATGCTCTTTCCAATCTCGGACGGCACTCGGAGGCACTCCCATTCATCGAAGAAAGTGTCAAACTCTACCGCCAGCTAGTTGCCATTAACCCAGGATCATACACCCCGGATTTGGCCATGTCACTCAACAATCTATGTATTGCACTTTCCAATCTCGGACGGCACGCGGAGGCGCTCCCATTCATCGAAGAAAGTGTCAAACTCCGACGCCAGCTAGTTGCTGTTCACCCAGGATCATACACCCCATATTTGGCCATGTCACTTAACAATCTATCTTATTCTCTTTCGGATCTCGGACGGCACTCAGAGGCGCTCCCATTCATAGAAGAATGTGTCGAAATCTGGCGCCAGCTAGTTGCTGTTAATCCAGGAGCATACACCCCGGATTTGGCCAACTCACTCGAAAATCTACGCAATGCTCTTTCCAATCTCGGACGTCATTCCGAGGCACAAATGGTCCACATTTGAGCGTGTTCTCTTTGTTATTACATTTTCATTTTGCTCTCTGTGCACGCTTGAATCGGATATCCGGCTCGAGAACACCAAAAAAATCCAACCTCATTTTTTGATTGCAAACTATCGACAGAGTTCACTGGCTGCGCTTGCACCCATAACAAATTGGAGTTGCATCTTTCAATTCTAATTCCAGTTGTTTTGCTTTTCCTACTTGCATGCGCGGACGCCTGGTTCGACTGGGCCACGGAGGTCTGAAGAACCCAGAAAGGAATGACTTGAGGCTTGTTCCTTGCCACACATTGTGAGGAACGCGAATGAGGCATGGTGTTGTAGAACAATCTGATGATGTACTTATTAAGTGCCTAAATGGAAGCTACGACATAGACTCCCAGGAATGGACTTAGTTGTTTGAAGAACAAGCTCTGCAACCATAGAAGCGTGTTATAGGACTACCGTGGCCAACGGGCTCTTCGCGACGAATGAATTTTTAATGATACCCCATAGTTCCAAATCGCTTGTTTCTTTGCTCGAACTTCTGCTAATTTACGCGTATCTTACATGTGAGCGGTCTGATGATCTGACAAACCCATGATCATGCTATATGGTCACCGCTTTAGGTACCATACGTTCATTAATTTCCTTTTGATGTGAGTATGCGGATCATGACGTGTACAGTTCGCCACACAGCAAACCCTATGCATGACAATACTGCAAGAAATATAGCAAACATGGATGAGCAAGTGGGGGAAAAAAACACGGAGACAACACTAGTACAAGCACACGTATACGTACTTAACGTAACACTAAGCAATCAAAGAAAACAATCGCAACCCAAACTAGATAGTATTCCGACCAAACCCCACGATGTCCGCCTTCCAACGCACTCTTGCACCTTGAGTATCCACCCAACCTGCCACTAAGCCCTACCCCAAACAGAAAGCGTCCTTAATGCAGCATTCCTAACAAGCTGCGGATTCCTCCCCCCAATTATCCCCGTGCCCGTAGAAGTAGTCGAAACAGGCGATATCGGTACGCTATCACCCCCTCCGACACCTCCACCAAAGCCACCCTGCTCATTAACAAGCGCGAGAATAATAGGTCTGGCTCTCCTCTTCACTTCGTTCAGCAAGCCCGCCTTCCCCTTCCCACTCGATTCGGTCACTGCCGTCGCAGAAGATGAAGACAATAAATTCGAAACCTCGGCATCCTTTCTCCCAACACTACTTAAGAGTGAGCACGCATTCGATCTAAGTTCAGGCGGGAAGAGTTGTTTCCCCTTAGGTCCTAATATGTAAAGTATCATATCTAACGGTGTTGAAATCGTTGGGTGCTGTGTTTGCTGCGTTTGAGGGGCTGGTGATTGAGTGTCGGCACCTGAAGAAGCAGTTAGAATTAAATATCATATGAAATACCAAGCTGTGCCAAAAGTAGAGAAGACGAGAATGAAGATGAAAATAGAAGACAATTACACACCATTAAGAACCGAAGCCCCCACATTCGTATTCAGCCTCAAACCCGGCGCGACAGCCGTGGCTTCTTCGGAAGTACTTCCCGGTAGAGACGATTGCTGTTGAGGTTGCCCTTGTTGTTGCGGTTGCTGTGGTTGCTCGGGCCCAAGAGGCACAACAAGGGCCGAAAGAACGTGAGATACTACAAACCCCACCGTCACCATCGCCATAGTGCACGTATGCCCGACCCGAGGGGAGAAAGAGGGAAACGGTTTTGGTCAGTAAGGATCTCGGGTTCCTTGCGCCTCGGGCTGCCCCCTAGGTGAGAAAAGGGCAAAACAAAACGTGGAATGGAGACGAATCAACAATGGGGGTTCCCCAGCAACGGGGGAAAGATCAATGAAGGCACACAGCGCCAATGAGATAACAAGCGAGTGCGCTAGGGGGGACGACGAGGGACGCAAGGGAATGGGGACAGGGAGCAGAAGCGGATTACATACCTCCAGCAGCAGGGCTAGCCAACAACGTCAACGCCATAATCCCCTCATTCAGTAGCACAGGATACTTCACGTTTCTCCCAATCATCTCACCCAACGCATCCGCCACTTCCTCACACGTTAGAGCTCCAAAGGCGTTCTTCCTCAATGAACTCACTACTGCAGAATCATCAACACCGCTAACACCTGTCGTGGCTACAGTGACCAAACTTGAGGTGGTCGGTGTCCGATTGTTATTTATAGGAGATGCTGTCGGTGACGTTGCCGCTGCCGCAGAGAAAGGTGGAGGAAAGGGAGGTGGGTGTGAGACTGAAGGTGAAGATGAAGGTGTAGGTGGGATCCACAGCGTTTTGATGAGGTTTACTAAAATCCGAGTTGCTTCATTCCGGATAGCCAAAGAATCTGTGCGACGGATAAGGTCCAGAATTTGGTCTATTCCTTTGGAATCGGCGCCGTCATTATTCTCAGGCTCCACGAACAACTTCAAGGCATTCCAAACTAAGCAATCCACCGTAATTAGTGCGATGCCCCAATTAAAAGGAGTCATCATCAATGACACACCATGACTGGTAACGAGGTGTTTGACGATCCCAATCGCAGACAATTGTACAACATCCGCCAAATCCGCTGCATTATCCCATACTTTCGAACGAATGATGGCCTCGATAGTACCTAGTTCCCCCAGATAATTGCGATTCCTTTGAGGTTGTGACAAGTGCTTCAAAAGTCCAAGAACACCATGCTTAAGCTTGAGATCCATCTTCGGATCAAGCAAGTTTAATAAATTCGGAACGAGTGACACCGGAGGCTGCACCAATGCAACGCATCGAGCTTCTAAAAAAGAGAAGGGGTCAGAGTCCCCGGCGTTTCGAAACCAAAGCCAAAACCCACCCCTTCTCGCTAAGTTCCCTAAACACAAAGTCGCACAAATCACCAGATCATCCCGCTCCTCGTCTCGTCGCGCCTCAACGGCGGCAGGGTAGTCCTTAATCCAATGAACCATTTTCTGAACGAACCACCCCCCAAGTGGATCATTCTGACCCCATAATACGTTCACTTGCGCCTCTTCTCCAGCAAGATTAACGATCCCTCGGATGATTGCCCCTTTACAAAACCCAAATGTCTTCCCCCATCCCTTCCTTTCATTCTCACTCTCGTCGTTCCAATATGAAGGTGGCTCACCACGTTCGATAAAGACGAGTAATTGTGTAAGTGGAGTATTCGGTTCATTCAGTGCATTACGTGATGAATTGATAGGTGTGATTAGTTTCCCTCTGAAGTCATCATCCTCTGAGGGGAGAGCCTCTATTTGAACGGCGTATTCTTGGAGTGTATCAACATCCGTGTTTATGAGCGCTTTTCGGAGTTGTGCGTCCGATGACGCGAATGGGGGCGTGGAGGATGGGAATGGAGGAATGAATGAATTTAGCGATTGGGTAAATGATTTAAGAGATGTTGCTTCCCATGCCACATCTGTAAGGGAGTCAAGGAGCAGTTAAACAAAATGACATGAGTTCCTGACCATTGTCTGATTGGGCCAAAACCTCTAGAACGCGCCAGGACCATGCGGCTATCCCAGACCGCCAGGACCACACCTCGGCGAGTTCTGTCTGTGGTATCTTGGACGGTATTCTCCATACGCCCGGTGGATATATCGAGGAAGCGAGGCTTAGAACTAGTTGCTGCGTCTTCATCTCCCTCAGAGCACTCTGCACAGGTTCTAACTCCAGGGTTAGCTTCCTCAGGGTCCCAATGGGTGAATGAAGGGAACCCACTGTAATCTAGTCCAGCGTTCAGCAAGAAACCGAATGCCGTCTTCACGATCTTTAAATCTTGTAATGATAGTATGGAGGCGGGATCGGGAAGGGTCGAAGAAGCAGGAGTCTTTTCCAAAAGAGCGACGTAACTTCTCAGGATTGAAAGGACAATCTGAGGAAACTCTGCATCCAAAAGACGACCTCTGTTGATGTCTACCCCAACATAAAACGACGTGCGCAATAATGGGGTCCGAGGGAACAATAACCAAATCAACCGTCGCGATGCCATTCATGAAGGGTATCAAAACTTCGCGCTTTACTCACCATGATCCATGCAAAGATTTGCACTAACGCGTAAGATCTCAAAGACGGCGCTAGCACTGGTCCTTGAAATAACAGGTTCGGTTGTTTTGTCGGCGCTTGTTTGAGAATACTTCAACAAGGTCGTCATGGAAAAGGGGACGCTCGTTCCCCCTATAATTCCATGATTATCTACACGCATTCCGTCATGCATAAGCTTCCAAAAGTTCAAAACAGAAAGGCGGGAGGCAATACGAACCTATCGAGTCCTTGGATCGAAGAGCATTTGCGAGATTTCTCGCGATCGATTCTGCGCTGAACCAATCCGGGGTGGAAGTCTTGGGTGACAGGGGCGTTTTTCCAGGAATGCATGTTTCCAGTTTTTCCGAAAGGCGGACAAGGTCAGCAGCCATTGGAGTGAGTTGTTAAATCGCAGTGCTTGGCTCGGGCGAAGTTGATGGGTGCGTTTTCAAAACAGGCACAAAACATTCGAATTGCCCAATTAGGGTCACAATTCAATTTTCCTGGACATCACAGCAATATTGTTCCCATCATCACAGAATCGAAGAGAGTACAAGTACTAGGGAAAAACAACCCCAAGCAATGTCCTACCAGGCAGATACTTTGCAGAATCCTGTTCCCGTCTGCGCACTTTCCCATTTCGTCGAACTGTGTAGGTTTGCCCACGCCAAACCACATCACTCCCAAGCACACCGTACAGCCATATAGGAAACGCCATCAATTCCCTGAGCAGCCAGGCAAATAAGAACGCAAATCGCTTTGATGCCGGTAAAGGATGTCCAGCAACAGCAGCGTAAACGCCCAAATCCAATGCCAGCCACCCGCCAATGTGGACCAACGCGAAGGCCCAGAACGGTACAATACCACTGACGGAGATGACGTACCACCCAATGAACAGCAAGGCTAGGCATTCGGTGAACGGTTCGAGGAGCGTGGCGGTCAGGACCATGTGTTTTCGAACGCGAATCCAACGAACTCTTCGCTCAATGTAGTCATAAACTGACATCGGCCCGAGGGCATTAATAGCAACATCACAGCTCATACCGTGCGATAAACCCAGTTCATGCATCATCGAGGCCGCGATCATGTTGTCTTCCGCGAGAAACTCACCAAATGCGGGAAGGCCGGTGATGATCTCTGGTGGGTAAATCGGCGGTTCTGGCTCGCCCGTGTCGGTAATTCTCTGTCTCTTATATTGACCGCGAGATGAAGGTAATGCAGTGAGGCGTTCAATGTCCGAGCGGCGATACATGTTGGATTTACCCATGACGCAAGACTCGATGGCGAGGTAGTTGATGGCAATGTACATTTTCGCATGAGTAGTGTTCAAGAAAGCTTCCTCTATACGCGAGCCAAGTGATTGAGAGGCGCCATAGGTCATTGCGAAGGGAACGTGGTGGACAACGCCGACGCGCGAACGGCGCGTGGGCTGAACGGTGGTAGGAAGCGACCCTGAGCGGGGAGATGGCCGCGTCAATGCGTCCACTGAACGCGTGAGTGTCCCGGACTCAGTGCATACGTTTGAGTCTAGAATCCAAATTATATTGTGGCGAGCTTGTTGGAACGACCGCACAAGATTGTTAACTTTGGGGTTGCTGCCAACGACCTCATTACCTGGCAGAACAATACCATGAACATAAATTAGAATCATGATGGGATAACAAAAAAATCACCATGCTCACCGACAATTATCTGAGTAGGCACTGATGGATAGTTGGCAATGAGGTCTCTCACGACTTTCAACGCTTGGTCATCCGGGTCTTGCACGGCGAAGATAACCTCGAAGTTGGGGTACTCCTGCCTAAGGGAGGACTCCAAATTTTCATACAAGTTTGGGTCTAGCCCTCTGAGAGGACGAATGATCGACACGCCAGGCACAGGAGTGTCTGGGCGTGCTGAAGCCAACGGCGAACGTGGGCGGCGAGTATATACAGCCCGACTGTACCGGAAGAGGGAAAAGGTTTCCCGAACGTAAGCTCCATGTGCAGGGGAGCAAGGGCCGGGTGATTTGCCAGGATGGAGAGGAAGGTTGTACTCACGCGACGGACCATCCCAACATGCTAATTCCCCAAAAGGCACCATACCATCCCGAAGCGAGGAGCAGGGTGGACCAGCGGACAAAGTCCCAGGTTGTATAGGTTGCCTCTAACACCATATGAGTTGCACGCAACCAGCAAACGAGCAAGTTGTTGCTCTCAGCGCTTAACTTGACTGGGCTCGGTGTTAGGACCGCGGCTTTTCAAAAAAGCGGCGGGTCAAGCGTTTACACGTTCAGGAACAAGGAGAAGGCTCGTTTTGTTGTGGAACCAGCGATCTGCCTCTCAGGCCTCTCGCCAACGGGGCCAATCGTTCAACCCCCAGTGGCAAGTAAGAAAGTATTTCTCCATTGTGGTCCTATATAGAACGGATACATTGTTTTTGTGTTTTACATATTTCCACTTGTACGGCTTCACTATGTCCTACGATGAGGTAGGCGGGCCAGGGAATGATGAAGACGGCGAGGAGGTTGGATGGTTTTGACTGTCAGGGACTGTGTTGACGCGTTCGGCGCCATCCAGATCTCTTGACTCTTTTTTCGAGTGCGTCAGTTCGACACGACTCGTCGTCGCCCGAGAACTCTTGCTCACCAGCCACAAATCATCCATTATTCTCGACCGTCACGCTGGCGGTTCCTGGCTAAATAAATCACTCTTCGCGCTCTCGTGATGCCGTACGACCCGATCCGAGATGCCCACTCACAATCCCCTACTATCCGCCGATTGGACGTTAACATGCTTCTCAATGACAAGGAAACCCCTCTAGCCACTCCCATTACCACTGTACCAACCCAGAAACGCCCTAGATTCGATCCTGTTCATCACCCCGACGAACCCTCTAGTCCGCTCTTCGAAACTACTCCCCGTCCTTCCTCTTCTTCTTCGAACGCCTCAGGTTACTTCCCAAACGCGCTCCGCCTCGATGCATCGCCAGCATTAACCGACCAGGCGTTGCCAAAACCCCTTGGCGAAGCAATGCAAGTGGCATTTGAGAATCATCACATTTCTAAACCCTTGGATAGCGCCGGCTCAACTCAGCGATCCATTACTAACTCACCAACGCTAATAGTTTCAGAACGCCGCTCGGTCGCTCCTACTACGTTATCCCCTCTTACATCACCCAGCATCCTCCCGCGTGCTTCTCCCACGATTTCCACGATCATGGCCCCTCCTCCTCCCCCTCCCCCTGCACCCTACAACCCGCGCAAACGAATAACACCAGCCTCTTCTCTTCTTGTCCCTATCCTCCCAGAAGAAGCTCAGCGTTTGAAACGGACAAGTAGGAATCCCTTACGTTATCCGCCTGCCGCTGCTGCGGGTAAAGGCGTGTTATCGTTCCAGCCGACTAACAATGCCGATGCAATGGAAGAGCATGGGTCACAAAGCAGCGTAGCATTAACTTCGGGTTCCTGGTCCCCATCTCGAGTCCCCGACGCCAATCAGGCTCAACCACATCTTATCACTGAAGAACCAACCCCACGAAGTAGTAAACGTCTTGCGCCGGACGACTTTACCTCGGATCATGAGCGTCTCCTTCATCCCTCACATCGTGAAAATGCCGAGCTTGTGGCAGAGCATTACAATCAGCGGCCGGAAGTGGGTAAACTTAAACGCAAAGATTCTCCCATCATCGGGCTGAAGAACTTTAACAACTGGATCAAAGCCGTGATGATCGCCAAGTTCGCACGACCGCCGATCGAGGAGACGAACTCGAAGCCGCCACCCTTCGTTTCCGTCAGCCAGAGGAAACAACCAAAACATCTAGGGCGTGTATTGGACGTTGGTTGTGGGAAAGGCGGGGATCTAGGTAAATGGGCTAAAGCGAATATAGCACTCTTCGTCGGTGTGGATATAGCGGGTGTATCAATAGAGCAGGCACGTACCCGGTGGAGAGATCAGAAGCGGAAACAGTTTCAAGCGGAGTTCTTCGAATTAGATTGTTATTCTGTGAGTGAGCCTCCATATCGTCTTTTTTCCCCTATTCCATTTCACTCTGACAACCTCGACATGAGGCGGGTACTTACTCGGATGTTTCTGGGGGTTTGTAGCATCCGCTGGCGGATGTAGTACCTGCTCCGTTGTTGACTGCTTTCGATGTTGTATCGATGCAATTTTGCATGCACTACGCGTTCGAGAACGAAGAGAAAGTGCGTATGATGCTCAAGAATGCGACGGATCACCTTCGCCCCGGAGGTGTATTTATTGGTACGATACCTAATGCGAAATACCTACTGTGAGTGTCAGGCTTGAAAGGGGCTGTATTTCATTTTCGCGTTTCGCACGTTCGTATTCAAATGTTGATCTTCTGTTTCAGGAAGCGGTTAAAAAAGCTGGGGGACAAAGAGGAAGAACTCTCTTTTGGCAATGAGGTCTATCAGATTCGGTTCGAATCAAGACATCCTCCGGCCAAAGGCGCACATCCCTACGGACATAAATACAATTTTTATCTCAAGGATGCTGTTGACGCACCCGAATACGTTGTTCAATGGGATCCTTTCGTAGCGCTTGCGAAGGACTATGGCCTTGAGCTTGACTATAAGAAGGAATTTCACGATATATACCAGAGCGAGCAGGAGAGTCCAGAATTCGCAGCAATGTTGCAAACAATGAACGTTGTTGATTCGAAAGGGGAAAGTTTCTTGGACAATGATCAGTGGGAAGCTGCCAGTGAGTAATTTGTGTTTACTGCAGGGACTGTGGGACGACTCAATATTTTTTAACAACAGACATCTATATCGGATTTGTCTTCAAGAAGGTTGCTCCGACAGAGTAAACCTATGTTTGCCATCACGCCAACATGCCCTTGCCTGTTTTTCGTTCCTGTTCTCTCCTGTCTTATTCTACGGCTCTTTTGTCTTTTCGTAAAGAGGATCTCTCTCAATGGGTGCGCATTTGTTAGTGAAATTTATCTATCTATCCATCATTGTCGTATAGCTAATGGCTTGATGTGCCGAAGTAATGCATTCCACCCCCCAAGTTGTTTTCGATGCCACTGCTGCGCTTTTTCCAGCTAGGGACCCGTTAGGCACCTCGTCCCGAATCCCGTTACATCAAATCTGAAGGATATCATGAGTCCTCGAATTAGAATGAAATTCCGTCGTTTTGGTCTTGTAAACTGATGGCCGGCGACTGTCCGACGCCATTTGTCACAGCCTCGCATTGAGAGATCAGCTAGGGGGAAGAAATTTTGCTTATCTCTCACCGAGCATGATTGAGGGTGCAGATGGAGTTCTCAAATGCAGATCCGTGCCCTGAGCGGTCTCGCATTTGTTTTTGGCATGTGCGTAGCCGACCGTCGCCCAGGCAGTTGCCCTACCTTTGTCCTCCAACGCCCCTCTCCCCCCTCGGAGGGAAGGAACGGATTTTCTGCGACGAGGCGTGAATGTTCATTCCGGACGGATTGGTAGTATAGTACTATATCTCGAACATTGCGGAGGATGTACAAAAACCCTCCAACGTACATACATGGTGTTGTAATAAATCATACCGCCCTGACCTTTTTGAGCATTGGATTTCCAAGGGAGAGCGCACGTTTCTTTCACACAATCTGTGTGTGTGGACAAGGAATATTGTCTATTTAGGGATTGACGAGGGTTTACGTAATATCACCATGGGTATTGTGGCGGAGTCGGCCGTCTCAATTATGTCTTGTTGAACACTGCGGACGGTTTTTGAACCCCACTATGGGTTGCTGTGTATTGCTGCCTGCTGTAGTTGGCAGATCAATCAACGCGCTGATCATCTCACTCGGGGTATAATTCGAGTTCCCAGATTGGCCCAGCGACCGCGTTGGTAAAGCCTGCTGGTCGCCTGCCTACGCGTACGCTGGTTGCCCTACACAGGTGTTCACTCTCACCTGAACAGGGTTTTGATGTTACGGTATCAGTGTGGAAACACTCACTTATGTTAGGGGTCCGTCCCATTTGAGGCGGTGGCTAGTGAACATGGAAGCCGACTTAGCTAAGATGCCGCGCGTCGTGATTAGCGAGCATCGCCGATTAGCGGTGGGGCCGCCGCAAAGCCCATCCTGCAATGGCATTGCTATTGATGTTAGATTTTGCGCGCGCCTTGCTCTGTAAGAGAGCCGCAATGCCTTTCGCTTCTTTCACAACACCATTGTGCTTCGTCGTGTGTTCATGCGCGCGTTCTTCCAAATGGAGGCGTGACGCCACCCATGATGGCTACAACACCCAACTTTGTCAGTAGATCGCTTTTCTAAGTTGGAGTGATTGCCCCGGTCTCGGAGCGGCGCCAGCATCTATTCGGGATGGCGGCCGACCAAGCAAGTTGATCGGTCAGGGATTATGACTGATGGTGGAATGCCGAGCCCACCGTCCTTGTGTTTACTGCAGTTCCCTGCGAGCCCACTGCAGGAGCGTCTCATGCTCGTCGCTTAACAAACACGGTGCCAGCTTTGGTTCATCCGCAGTTGGCAATAGTGTACCTGAGGAGGACAAGGTCAAATTCGTCCACACCCTCTATCCGACCCCTCTTTCGTAGGTTCTGCTCTCGCGACCAACCCCCTGGGCCACCAGTAATTTTCCAGTGACATATCTATATATGGGAGGCAAAGGCGTCCCATGTATTTGAGGGACCAATCACATCCGCGCCACAGCCGGGCATCCGTATCATGGACTTATCTGCTTGGTCAGGTAAGGACCCTGGCCTCGGCGTAACATCGGACGAAATACTACCACCATAGCATGGCCCCAGTAACGGAGAATCGGATTTTCCAGCATCATTCGTAGCTGTGAGAGTCCGTTGTGAAAACGAGGAGGGGGGGTGGCTCGATCAACCAACAACGGCGCCCGAGAGTCAACAGGGCTCGTCGGAATCAGTCAAATAATGTTATCGCACTTTCTTGAGCGCTTTTCCAATACTGGTCTCACATGCCCCCTATTTGCATATTGAGAAACTTTACAAATACTGCAGTGTCATTCGCGCCGATATCTGTCTAATTGAACATATCTCGGCGGCAAAAACCATGACTTCCGATAAGAACTGCTCAAATAACGCTGTTGGAGCATGCGGCAGCCAGTTCCCGAAGCCGTCGACCGGCGTTTTGGGTTGCGTCGGTAGAAGCTACTGATGTAGTGAAATCCTCCTAACTCCCACGGAGTCGTGTGCTCCTCCGCATCGTTTGGACTCTGCCTATTTCCGTCTTAGGTCTCTAAATGATGGTCCCATTCACTGTTAAAATGATGGATACGTAGTTCCGAACTTCTACACCTTCGTAGTGATTGGGAACAAACTTCCCCCCTGTTGAGCCTTCGATTGCTGATAGCGCCCCATAGAGTAAAGAAGACATCCATTCGGTTGTGGTCTTAATGAGGTTTCTCGGATTCGGTTTTGGGGAACTTCTCAACCACATTTCGTAGTATATAAAGTTGTAAACCCTGTTGGTCGCCCACTTCGTCTGACCTGGGTCCCCTTCGTGGCTATCTCGTTGGACCATGAGCGATCTATCTGATTTATTGATGGACAGTCCATCTCCGCCATCCACCCCCGACAGGGCTGCTCTGGACGATATCCCTGACTTATCCAACAGAGTCGTATTTGTGACACGAGCGGACACGGACACTGGTGCGTCAAACTCACAATCCAGACCTTTAAGAACCCTTTCATGCATGCACACCCGTTACAGGCAAGGAGATAGCGCGTGTCTTCCTGGAGCGCAACGCGAGGGTCTATTTAGGGTGTCAGGCTTCAAACATCGGTAAGAGACTGAGCGCAGAGCTCAAGATGATAACGGCAAAGGGCGCCGCCCCCTGGCTACCTATCGACCTCTCCAATCTCCGTACAGTCGAAGCTGCTGCTCGCGAGTTTCTGAAGTAGCGTACAACAATCGTTTGCCTGATAATACTGTCTGATAGGTTCATTTTCATGTCAGAAAGGAAACACGGTTGGACTTCCTGTTCCTCTCCTCGAGAGCACTGGGCCCTCCAGGCCAAACGCCGAAACGGAGCCAATTAGATGAAAGAGCGAACACGGACATCCTCGGACGGTTCTATCTTCTCCAAATCCTTACCCCAAATTTGATTAATACGGCCGATTCCATGTGTTTGGATGGCAAACCTCGTGTCATCAATATCTCGACTCTCGAAAACAACGGAAGAATACCTCGCTCCATTGCCCCGCACTTCACCGTAGTCACGAAAACGTTCGGTGCTCCCCGTCGCAGCCAGGTCAGCCCGCCTTTGACGTTTCTCAAAAGACCTTTTGATTTTGATTCCAACGTCACCTACGTTAGTTTCAAGAAGAATCTCTTTTCTCCGATGCGCTCGCCCGAAAGTACGGCCCGCAAGGACTTATCTCCATCTTCCTGCGTGAAGGGGCCTTCATGGCCGGTTCTCATCAAGAGAGGTCCATTTTAATTTCGAGTTTCATTGTGAGTGATGCATATCTGGGGTTTTAGCTCAGGGCCCACGTTATGCTTTTACCATATATGAGTAATGAGTATCTTTTCCCATTAGAGCTGGATGTTGTGGCCGGTTTCCCGAGGCGCTATATCATCTTTGTATGGCAGCTCATCATTCAATGAGGTGGGTATCGCCGCCTTCGCGACCGTGTCGATGGGGGCAAGTACAAGGCTTCTTACTTACTGGTGTCCTCACCTCCAGAATCCCACACCCTTGGCACGTATTGGACGCGCCAAAGTGACGAAAGATGAGGAGAAAGAACAAGAGGATTTCTGGTCTTGGCTGAAGGCTGAAGTCGAAATTCACGAGTCAGAGTAATTGTGCTTTATCATATCATTCCTTTCCAGGCACTGCTAGGATTCGTGCTGCATTAGTTTCCCTCATTCGCAATGTAATCTCACGCACAGGATACATAGATAATGACATCCACTTGCAAGTTCCACTGCTGAGATGTGGCCGATGTTCTCCAGGAGGATAAACTTTTAGGGATAATGTAACTGAAACGGCCCTTGTAGTTGCGGTTTCAAACATCCTTAACCCTTGAGAAGATATGCATAATATCTGTGGGGGCCCTCCCACGCACATACAGATCCTTTTGCTTTGTCCCGCGAGTTTCCATAATCGAGAAAAAAAACTCTGGCGCTTTGCGATTCAGGTATCCTGACCTCCCTGTCCAATTATCCTAAAATGCACTAGGGGTAACATACTATCATAACAACAATGGGTATACGAAGCGTTAGATCAGAGCAGTAGATCATCTTGAGGACCCCTCCTTCCGTTTGTTGCAGGGACGTTTAGCGGCTGAGGAGTTCGGAAAAGGCCATCAAGGTTGGCATAGGGATCGTAAGCCGCTTGAACCGGTACGTTGGGACTCTCACTAGCGAAATTAGGAGTTGTCGCCATCGGGGACGGAGTGAATTCGTGATCGGTATTGGCTGCTTCATCACCAGCATCACGGCTCCCAAGAAGAGACTCTTCTTGTTCTGGAGGGTCCATATCATCCCCTGCAACTCCTGTTGTATTGTCCGGTCCAATGAGAAGTCCTTGATGAACAGCAGCAAAGTCTGACGGTCCCCCAGGCGTCGGTCGATATTCTGGCATTCGTCGGGGCCCCAGATCCGATTCATCAGGCAATCGGATAAGCACTGCGCGAGATGCAGAATTCAATGCAGGGCTGTCAGGAAGTTGCTTTCCTTTTGCTGACCGAATGAAGGTCTGCACAAAAGCTTAGAATGGATAGGAGGAGGTATGAGCGAAAAAGGGGGACTCGCCTCGGGATTCTTGTGGTAAATGGAACCCAAGGTACCGGTATGTAGCAGGAGTTGATCTAATGTCCCTCTATCCATTCTGTCCGTCTCGGTGGAGATTGGCGGCTTGTCGGACAAGACAATCACCTTGGCAGCGGTGGCGTTCGTGGATAAAAGTCTCCAGTAGATAAAGCCACGATCGCGAAGGTCCGGGTTATCAATCTCTTCTGTCGTAATGCGCAGGACTTTGGACACTAGTTCTTTTGAGGCATCGGGTTTTTGGATGAATAACTTAACTACAGCGGTGAGGAGGGCGAGCTGAACCTATTAATGGCGTCAAGAGGGATCGGAAGACCCGGGAGAGACCACTGACCTCAGTCTGCTCCTCGAGGAAAGAGAAAGCGAGCTCATCAAGTAACTCCGTGGCATTTTCGATCCGATCTGCATACTGGCCGATGATCCATATGATGGCGGCTTTTGGTTCAGGATCCGTTAATTCATTCATGTTCTCGCACAAGGTGGGGATGATTGATTCATATTTGTTTGGGTAGCGTCGAAAGATGTCGCGGATGACCACGACAACTTCCTGAATGACGTAGGAAATTTTTGTTTCGAGAAGTTGTAGCAAAGTCTGAATGCACAGGTCTGCAGCCGCTGGAACCTTGATTGCAAGCCGACCGATAGTGCGCACGGACTTGCGGACGAAATCGATATCAACCTCCGTGGCATACCTGTCAGGTTGCACAGTCAGTGTTGCGCATCGAGAGCCTAGATGGTCGCTTACTCCTGCAACTCCGCAAGGATAATCTTCGCATTCTCGGCATGAGACAGGCGGTACATAATTTCCAGCTTGGCTAATTTGTTGTACACGGGGTCGTTGTATTTGCAGAAGAAGACCTTCACACTGTCCCGCAGTATGGCTGGCCGCCTTTGTATGACTAGCAAAATATTGCGTAACGCTACATATTGGACTTCAGGGCCAGCCGATAGTAACGTAACTATATAAGACGTCAGGAAGTTTCCTTGTATCGATTCTTGGATCACTGACCTAAAGGAGGCCCCATTTTCCGACATAGAGAATCTTTGAGCTCCGAATTACCCATGTAGTTCATCAAGTATAGGATTACTTTTATTGACGTCAACACTACCGCAGAATTTGCGTGCTGGAGGCGGACGGATATTCGTTCAGCTAGCAGTTCAGCCTCGTCATGTGTTTGGGGGACGAAGTACATTAGTGAGTCTAGTATGTATACCTGCCCCCATCTGCAGACTGGTTCGTCAATGAACAAGAAGAAATGATCGCCTCGGCTACATACTCTGATGCTTCGGCCAACGCTGTCAGCAGTTTGCTCGCGACAGTGATATTGAGCTTCAGGGTTATCTCATCACTTCTTTCGCTAATCTCAGTTAACGCTGCTACAGCGTTTGCGACGACCGTGGGATTGGGGTCTGCCAGCAAGTCACGTAACTGAGTGATGAAGCTCTCTTTCTCCACAATACGAGCATCGTGGATCCATAGTTTGGCTACGCAGATCGCCGCCGTCTTCCGAACATAAGGATCTGCATCCTTCAAGCAATGCCGCAATGGTTCACGAAGACCGCTGAGAACAATGGGTAGCGGTATGTAAGACATCGTCCGTATTGCAAGGGCACGAATCAGGGGATTCCGATCATTACAATCCTGCTCGAAGAACCACCTCTCAGTATTTATACAAAAAAAGCGAGTATATGTGCCAACTTACGGTGAGAAGGGACGGCATGGCGATTGAGATACTATCAGGTTTACTGCGACCATAGCTCACAAGGAAAAGATAAACCACTAGAATGAGCATTGGTGTCCAAGTCAATAATGATAGGAAGTACGTGAAGTTCATATGGACCTCGTACTCTTCTTGATTTCCAGGACTTGGATCGGCATGCATCGAATGATGTCGGGGAAGAGTGCTGACACTTCACGAGCCATCAGCAGAAGCAGGAGAGAAGCCGAAAGCAACCGTCCAGCTCACTGTCGTTCCCCATAGTGATATTGGCTACTATCTTCTTGAGTACCGTCTTTCGCTTAATGAATTTCTTGTCCTTTGTCGACTCGGCCTCTTCGAGCTCCTAATTCTCACATGTGTGTTTCTGGTGCGGGGACGATGTAGAATCAATCAAACCTTCCGGAACTCCTGAATCTTTCCTCGGGCGAAAAATTTGGCATCGCTAGCCATGACCCTGGGCGCCAGAGAATGAAGTGACAGGTTTATTGTGTGAAGTTGTTGATAGTTATTTATAGATTCCTTGATTTGGGAATTTCAAGCGCCCGATGAGTCGACCACGCTCGTCTCTTCCTTATTCGCTTCATGCATCCATTACTTCTTGCCTTGAGGCCATAGAACGGGTATCTGAGCAACAGGGCCCCCTAATCACGTCAATGCAAACAGAATTGGCCGTTTTGGATCGTTTATACTGCAAGTTCAATAATCAGCACCGTTCGGCCGTCTTCCTGCGCAGGGCCGTCGAAGCACGTCGGATTCTCAAAAGGATACAGGATTCTCGTGGGCTTTTCTCTGCCTACCGTGTGTATGCGTCTTTTTTCGGGGACTCTAAAAGGTGCCTGCAATTTGCTTCACCTCGATCGTGGCCACATCCGTTAAAATAGACCAGTAAACAAAGCATTTCCTGGACACATCTTCCTCCCAAGCGCCTACTTCCGTCCTCCCTGCACGCCATTCATGAATTATGCCTGCTCTTGAATAAGGTACTGTCTCGGCCTGGTTTATTTCTTGGTTTCTAATGCTAATTGCCAATGCAGGCCATGACAGTTTTACGAAGTGCTTATACGTGCGCATTTCCTGTCCAAATAACAATTTTTGTAGCTAACTCTATGTCCTCAGCTTCTCTGAACTACAGCATGGGACAAAAACATTCCGCGCTCAAACATCGGTGCTGGTGGCCATTTTTAGCCGGGTACACATGGTATGCGTAGAGCTTAGGAGCGCTTTTGATGCAATATGGGAACATTTTATGCAACTTTGTAGGGTTCTTCGGGTCGGTGAGATTCCTCTCATCCCTCACCGACGACTGATTTGTTTTTCAGTGCGACTACGGTGGACCCATGAAGCTTCCTCAATCACATCAGTCCCCTGACCACCCGAGTCCTTCTAAGCCTCTTGTCATGTCTAATCAGGATAATTTCAGGGAGAACATGAAGGATGCAGGAAAAGTGATTCCCAAGTCGACCAAGGACGTTAACAATCTTGATGGAATCGCAACTGTTGAAGCTACCACCTCTATTCCCAGGAAAGACGGGCGCCCACTGGGCACAGCACCAATGAAACAGAACTCGCGCCCCATGTTGCCCTCGTCGAAGACTGGCTTAGGCGCTCATCGATCAGGGCCACTCCCTCAGGAACTCCGTGGGTTATACTCAGATAGCCCCCCTGTGGTCTCTACTGAAGCGGCAAGTGCATCGAAGAAGGCCAAGAAATTGAAAACCAAGAAGAATAAAATGAACGAAGAAAAAGACGAGATTGATGACATCTTTGGCTCGCTTTGACGGATGAGTACCTTTCGGATACCATATGTTCTTCTATCCCTGGCACAGAAATGAGTACTGTTTGTCACAAATCGCCGGAACCAATACCATGTATTAATTCTTGCTATTCCACAGCGTGCCTTGCTTCGGAACGTCACGCGAAAGTTCTACCCCCGGAGAGACGACCCTCAATCACGAAATTTGATTCGTGTCCACTGGCGCAGTGATGTTAACCTATGTCGGTATGCGACGTGGGCGGAGTTCGTCCGGGGAGAGACGTGTGTCTCGTTCGATTTGGCACTGTCTAGACTCAAGCTATTTGACAGATCGCTATCTGGACACAGGGCTGTGTATTTGTCAGTGTTCTTTGGGGGGATTGGTGTTGATTGTTAATGTCGAGGGTGCTGGGGCAGCCAGTACGATGCTGTTAAGGATAGTGAATAGAGACCGTCGCCTGAAGTGATTGACAGAATCCTATCCATCATGAATCCCCCTAAGCCACGAGGTCTAACCGGTGTCAATCAAAGGTAGACGGAAAATATCCCAGGCCAGAACGTTGGGCCAGTTTGTCTGATCTAAGTGCCACTTCAACCGTTTACCTGCGCACACGAATTAAGAATTGATACCACCCAGTAATATTGCATCACATTTTCTCTCATAGTCATGACATGATGGTAATAGCGGGTGCGGGTCTATTAGCCAGTTCAGGTGAGGTTTTTCCGCTCCTATGGGTAATGGATTTGTCGCCCATTCTCCTTCTGATCTCTTCGCCCGCTGCCCTGAACCCATCATTTCCGCATCGAAGATTTCCGCGTGTTCCCTTAGCCATTTCCTTAAAACACAGGTCTGCTGGCGCGTAACCAACCAAGCCGTATTTAGTCCGCTTGCGCTTGGACGTTCCACTTTCACTGTTTGACGAGCCAGAAATCCACGGAATGGGGACGAATCATCCCAGCGTCATCGTCATCAAGGAGAAAGGGGCAAGGAAATAGCCCTCCCTATTTGGTTCGCTCAGGTTGTGAATTACCCTGACCGAAATGCTGATCTCCTGGATGGAAGGACACAGTGCTGGCAATGGTGAATATGCGAGGAAAGATGCTTTGGACAGAGGCAGGCGTCATTTTGCTTCCTGGGCCAACCTATGCACCCCAAGAAGCAGTGGGACGACAGCATCGGGATTTCTCTTGAAGAAACCATACTGATACCGCCTGGTTGCCAAACTTATGAAGGTGGATAACGAATTGGAATGGCACCAAAACAAGGAGGTTCCACATGGAGGACACGCTCCCAACAGGAACGACCTCAATAATCATGTCGCTGTCTGTTGGGCCGCTTGGTGCAACAATGGTGTTTCTCAAAAACGAGGAACAGCGTCCACTTTGCACCGTGTGATAACACTGTATCCGCGGGGACCCAATGTGATTCACAAGCTGAAATGGGAATGGCAGGCTCAGCAACGACGCTGTCGAATACTCCACCACTCCCTAGGGCCTCCACGAGTATCATGCGCACAGCAGGTAGACAGGATGGCAACGAAGGCTTTCAAAATAAGCCAGGTCATTGAATAGCTGGGAGAGCTGGCTAGGTGTTGGTCATTCTTGTTGCTGACAGAGTCTGGGAGTGCAAGTGCCATCAGTCAAGGTAGCGAGCCTGGAAATATGTTGGCGCAATCATATCCGAAACTGTAGCCTCCGGAAACAAAGCAAGTTGGAGAACGAAGAGAAAGCGTATGTAATAGGATTGTCTGAGCTCGTTATAGAAGTGGGATTTTGAGGATTGCACTTTTGAACATGAACAGGAGCACAGCAGGATAACTGCCAAGATTAGACGCCAAGAGACGCTGACATCATCGAGTAGCGATAACCACGCCGGTTTCGTGCCGAGTGACGGGGCAAGCGGCGTTAATTCTACCTCTGCTGACATAAGTGCTATATCAGCGCGCTTCTTCATTCAATCCAGAGCGTTAATCGATTCACGAAGATCGACATAGCAATCAACACTTCCTAATTATGGTCTGGGTGGTTGCACAGTCACGGAGCCAGTCCATTCCAGGGTTAGGACCAGCCCTGTTGATTTACTATCCCCCTTACTTTCGGCAGGAGAAGACAGGTCAGTTGTAGCGTGAAGGGCTGGTCCTGAAGAACTCCCACTGTCCATGATTCCCTTGATGATTCACACGTGTTTTGAGACAGATCGCTGTATCGAGTACAAGAATACGGCAATTCTCATTAATTCCGCTCCTCTTACCAAGCCCAACCCCTAGAACTTGAAGATAACATGTCAAGCCCCGCCATTCATATTCGCGCCCCAGAGTCAAGAAGACCTATCAGTAGGGATCCTAGACATCAATTGACATCGCGTGTAGGTAGCGTTGGTAGTCAGATCGATCCACTAACCGAGCTAGCGACGTGAGGAATTCATAGATGAAAAGAAGGGACTATTGAGGCAATTTACACCGATAGAGCCGAAAGACTGGACGATGACGGAGCAAAATTATTGAGAATGAATGATGGAGAGTACGTCGGTGAGTAACATCGGTCATCATCGGTCCCAGGTGGAGTGGAAATATGATCTTACCGTACAAATCTGATGGCCCAGTACTAGGGGGTTCAATGCGCAGAGGTGACACCTCTGCGATGGTCGTCTCTAGAAATTCTGCGGATGAAGCTTAACAGAGTCGTTACTCGGGCGGAGAAGGTATCCTATGCGCGTGATGGGTACCTGGCTGCGGAGGTGGCCAGTCAGAAGCAGTCTCCTGACATAAGCCGCTCTCATACGTAAAACAAACTGAACAGCGTTGAGTCAAGAGCCCAAGGGCAAACAACATGGAAAGCTGGAATGACCGAATACGTGGCCAAATACTGATCCCGGTATGAGCGTAAAGGGGAATGGCTTAGGCTACAACCCAAATGAGGGTCTCCCATATTCGGGTATGTCGCACGAGTTCGTCTCAACCATTTTTCCCTGCTTGAACGTTCCACTCCCACTGTCTCTCGAGTTGGCAGGAATCCAGGGAATGAAGTGATGGGAACGAATCATCGATCATCATTAAGGAGAAAGGGGTAAGGAAATGGCTCCCTTGCTCAGATTGTGAATTGCCCTGACCGAAATGCTGATTCTCCTGGGTGGATATGCGAGGAAGAACGCTGTGGATAGAGGCAGGCGGTTTCCTGGACCAACCTATGCACCCCAAGAAGCAGTGGTCAGTTCATCACCAGCCACGGGGACGGCAACGTCGGAAAGAAAATACGGCCGGACTGCCAAACTTGGTTGCGCACATGGTGTGAAGGAGGAATGTGGGAAGGAGGCTGACAAACACGGAATGGCACTAAAACAAGGAGGTTCCGCATCGTGAAGGAGGACAGGCTCTCAACAGGAACGATCTCAATGATCGTGTCGCTGTCCATTGAGCCGCCTGATGCAACAACGGTGTTTCTCGCGATACCGAGGAACGGCGTCCGCTTTGCAACGTGTGGTAATACTGTATCCGCCGGGATCCAATTTGATGCGCAGGCTGGGATAGGGATAGCAGGTGACCCTCAAGACTTAGTAACGACGCTGTCGAATACTCACTAGGGCCTCCACGAGTATCACGCGCACAGCAAGTAGACAGGATGGTACCGAAGGCTTTCGGAATAATCCAGACCATCTAATGGCTGGGAGAGCTGGCGCATCCGTAGGTGTCAGATCATTCGTGTTTCCGAAAGAGTCTGGGAGTGCAAGCGCCATCAGTCAAGGTAGCGAGCCTGGAAGCATGTACGTTAGCGCAATCATATCCGAAACTATAGCCTCCGGAAATAGTGAGTTGGAGGGCGAAGAGAGAGCGTATGCAAAAGGATTATCTGCCACTGAGCTCGTTGTAGAAGTGGGGGTTTGAGGATTGCGCTTTTGAACATGAGCCAGAGCGCGGTAGGATATCTCCCAAAAAATTGCCCTTGATCAGACGCCAAGAGATACCACCGACTCGCAATATCAAGTGACGGGGTAAGCGGCGTTAATTTATCGCTACATCAGCGCGCTTCTTCATTCAATCTAGAGTGTTAATCGATTCACGAAGATGGACATAGGTCAGGACTAACCTTAATCACTGTTCCGCTTACTCGCCTGGACGTGCACGTCATGTCTGGATTTCGTTGTTTGATGAACGACATCCAGTAGTAGTACTAGTCATGTAGTAAACAAGTGGTTACCAGGACCATGCGCCACCTGAATTTGGTAGCGACGAGATGTGGTAATACAGCGCAGATCAAAACTAACTAGGGAAGGCATGGTGGAATACCAATGGGTAGTATAGTCATCATAGGATCCGAAATTCGGTTGGGTCATAATGTGTTGGGAACAGCGTACGGTAAGCTAGAATTTGAATGTAGTGGACCAAGTGGTTGCGTTCGACCGCCATTTGACTTGGGCTTCGTCTCAACCAATTTGCATCATCGATCGATATATCGAAACCTCGACGTCACCCGCGATGCAGAAATGCAACTGTGATTTGTTACGGGTGTAGCGTGGCTAGCGAACTGTGTAAATGTTTTATCAACGGTATACAATTAAAAAATTGGATTTGGATTTGTTGGTGTTCTCGAGCCGAATATACAATTCGAGCTTGCCTGCCATGTGCAGGTAGTGAAGTGGCCAATGCAATGACCAGGAGAACATGCTCAAATGTGGACCATTGGTGCCCCGGAATGATACCCCAGATTCGAAAGAGCATTATGTAGATTCTTGAGTGAGTTGGCCAATTTTGGGGAATATGCTCCTGGGTTAATGGCAACCAACTGGCGCCGGATTTTGACACATTCTTCGATGAACGGGAGTGCCTCCGAGTGCCGTCCAAGATTGGAAAGAGCAATATATAGATTGTTGAGTGACATGGCCAAATCTGGGGTGTACGATCCTGAATTAACGGCAACTAACTGGTGGTAGAGTTTGACACTTTCTTCAATGAATGGGAGTGCCTCCGAGTGCCGTCCAAGACTAGAAAGGGCATGATATAGACTGTTGAGTGAATTGGCCAAATACGGGGTGTATGATCCTGGGTTAACGGCAACCAACTGGTGCCGGATTTTGACACATTCTTCGATGAATGGGAGTGCCTCCGAGTGCCGCCCAAGATTGGAAAGAGCAATATATAGATTGTTGAGTGACATGGCCAAACCCGGGGTGTATGATCTTGGGTTAACAGCAACCAACTGGTGCCGGAGGTTGACACATTCTTCGATGAACGGGAGCGCCTCCGAGTGCCGTCCAAGATTGGAAAGAGCAATATATAGATTGTTGAGTGACATGGCCAAATTTGGGGTGTATGATCCTGAATTAATAGCAACTAGCTGGTGGTAGAGTTTGACACTTTCTTCAATGAATGGGAGTGCCTCCGAGTGCCGTCCAAGATTAGAAAGGGCATTATGAAGACTGTTGAGTGACATGGCCAAATCCAGGGTGTATGATCCTGGGTTAACAGCAACTAATTGACGGTAGAGTTTCACACTTTCTTCGATGAATGGGAGTGCCTCTGAGTGCCGTCCGAGCTTGGAAAGAGCATAAAATAGATTGTTGAGTGACCCGGCCAATTCTGGGGTGTATGGTCCTGGGTTGATGGCAACCAACTGACGCCAGAGGTTCATGCACTCATCGATGATTGGGAGTGCCTCCGAGTGCTGTCCGAGTTCGTCAAGGGCATAATATAGACTGTTTAGTGACCTGGCCAAATCCGGGGTGTAGGAACTTGAGTCCACAGAAAAAAGAAAACGGCAGAGCACAGCAGAATCATTCGCTGTCTCATATGCATCCTGGAATCTTAAAAAAAATACGAAATTCGGTGGAAGCCGGGTAAGCACATTGGCCAGTGCACTAACAGCCCTGTGGTCAACAACCAACTAGAAGATCATGAGGTAGTTTCTTTAACACAATTCATAACCCATACCTTAGCCCACTCAGGGAGTAATGAGATACTAACGTAGCGTTCCATCCGCACACAGACTTCCACCCACCGAGTTGCTTCCTGACTCAGAAACATACCAACTGACCCAGCAAGCTCATCTGATGGTTCCTTGACTCCACTTAGGTGGTGAACGACGTGGCGACATGCATAACAAAAGTGTTCAGATAACTCCGATGGAGGAATGCGCGGCATGGCATCTTTTTCGGACAAGTTTTCAATCAGTCCTAAGCCCTTTACAGAGCAGAGACCCCGGTTCAAAATCTCAGTACATCGCAGGGCAACCCTGGCATTCTCCACCACCACCGCTACGGGAGTGCAACGAGAGCTGATTGTTTGGGGATTGATCCGATCAATGATGAAATCACGGAAAGATTGGTGTAAGATATGAATCGGAATGTAGGGGTCTTCAACTCCTGAGAGCAGAGGAGCAAGTTCAGCCAACGCATATCGAACAGGAGACTTGAGGAATGGGGACAAAATTGAGTCCCAGGCTGTGATGGACAGAGGCTCCTGAGCAACGAGGATCGCTCCCATCACGATTGGGTAATCATGCACAAAATTTTCAACCTCCCAAGCGCACTTCTTTAAGATGCTTGTATACAAATCTTCCATCATCTTCTCAGCAGGGACCTCTGGTCGTTTGGCACCAGTGTCGAGCAGACTTCTTAGTGTCCTCATAGGATCCTGGTTGGTCATCTTCATGTAGCGAAAGATGGTGCTGATCCAGATGAACAAGCCATTTGCTCGTTCCGAGATCTCCTGTACCATTCCATCCTCGTCCTCAAGGTCACGGTGCAAATCCCGATGTAACTTCTTTAACTTTTGCAGCTGGAAGCGTATGAATTTAGCACAGTCCTGCACATTTGCCTCGTCCAAGAGATCGATAGTGAGACGATCAATAGGGTAATTGGGGGAGAGGTAGCGATTCACGAGATCAAATTGTCTTGATGTGATGAAGAATTTTACGGAAGATGGTAGCCTGGGCACTCCCTCCCCAAGAATTTCGGCAAGGGATTCGAACGCTTCTTTGTCACATTCATCTAAAGCGTCGATGATTATCACCATAGGACAGTCGGAAGGCGGAGGTTTATGGAATAGAGACAGAGCCACCAATTTCTTGAACTGCGTTGCGAATGAAGCCGTTGAGAGACTAGGGTCTTTTCGAAGAGCAGAGGTAATGAAAGTGCGGTAAACGGGGTCATGGTCTGCCAAAGCTCGAGCCATGCCGCTGAATAGAAAATCAGGCCGCGACCGTTGGCCCGCTTTAAAGAAGAACTGAAGTAACAGGGTAACATCCCCATCGCTGGCACATCGTTCTGCTATCGAGAGTGCAATCGAAGTCTTGCCAGCACCGGCCACGGCGGTCAACAGCATTAGCCGATTCTCGCCATCCTCAGTGTTGCGGCACCATGCCATGATACGCTCAATGAGATCAACCCTAGTGTCTTCCAGGCACGCCTGAGTGGAATCATCATGAACAAGATGAGGGTATCGGAGACTATCGAGAATTTTGTCTTCGTGTAAACGATGTTCTATGGCCGCTAACTTGGCACCAGTTATCAAATTCGTCCTAACCTGCAATGGCCGAAAATCAGAACGGTTATGGAAGGATACTGTAAGGACAGCTACCTGAAACGATGTCAATGCTTTGTCAAAATCTTTCTTTAGGTCGTTAATTCTTCCCGGGTCTCTCAAGTAGGAGAATGTTTTTCTGATAGTCGATCGTTTCTCTACTTTTTCCCGTCTTTCGATTTCGGACTTTATCTTCTGTAGCGCGCTGGGACTTGACGTAACTACGATATCGAAGACCACGAAAACGGATAGACTCACCCATCAAGTTCTGTAGCACTTTCCACCCATGGCTTTGCCTCTTCCGCGGATACATCGTCGTAATTTATGGCTGACGATACGTTGGCCATGGTGCTCGCTACGTATTCACCGAAACCAGCCCATTCCTTTGCATTCTCCTTGAACTTCTACATGGCACAAACCAGCGTGAGCTTTCATTCGTGGACAAGCATAAATCATTACCAACATTAACCTCGTCGTAGATGAAGAGTGCAGCACTAGTCGCATTCTTCAGGGGTGGACACCAATCAGCCGTGGCATTGACACCTCTAAGAGTTAAAACCGCCAAGTTACCCCCCACTGCGAGGAGATCTTTTGCCTTTTGCCTTGGAGTTTCAGCCTCTTGCTGCAGCGACATGGTCGATAACGGACAAGTAGATGGAAGAAAGAGCTTTAGGCATGCAACACACGTGTGAGCCCCTAAGCGCTCAAAAGCTAGAACCACGAGCCCTCCGTCTTATTATGGAAGGTTGAGGAAGAATATGATATATGTATTGACTATTTGGTCGACGCCATACAGACCTCTGATCCAGTATCGGCGGCGAATTCTAGCGGTGGCATGACTCAGTATCATGCCGATCAGAACTGGAAGCAGGATGAATGCGATTTGGAATAAGAACTAGACATGAACGAGCAAGGACTATGGGACGTCATACGGAGGCACTGGTCACTGCGCTCGATACGTACCGAGAGCTGGCAGTAAGCGCTGGTGGGGCACGCGCACGCGATGTATGTCAGTGGAGGCAGGGGATCCAGTCTGGCCTTTTATCAGGGTCTTGGAGTGCAATCAGCTATAAGTACCCATGTCAATCACCATGTCAATCTTCCAGGTCTAATCCTTACGGTGCTCGTCAACATCTAAGCTTGACTCCAGCTGACACACAACCATACGATCGTGCTCACTCTGGCTGAGATAGTCCAGCGTAGTTTCGTTGCGACGCTCCATTCTGTATCCCTGTTAATACACCAAGTGTGAGTGAGCACAGGAGAACCTGCCCCTTACACGTTCAAACCATGCATGTCTCCATGTGGCATTCCTGTTCACGCATGGGTCTTGTACTCACAATGCCTGGAAATCGAGCTTGACATCCAACCGGCGACCACAGGACACAGTTCAGAATTACCTCGGGACCGCTCGACACCAAGTGGGCGCGTTGAAGGAACACCTCCACTTTTATCGGTGTACTGAATGTCGAAAGGTCCCACAGCAGTTGAGCTGCGGTTCGTTAATGCGACGCCGGTTCTTACTGAGGTGCACACAAAACTCACTTCAGACCAAGGGACTCAACCAACGATGATGTGATCTATCCCTTTCCTCTTCCTCGCCTCTTCCCGCTGCCATCCTAGTGCATGCACCTCACTTTGCCGTTTTCCGTAACGGTCTCGTTCTATGTTTTCTTACCCTCCCTTCGCCCTTTCACAATTCTTGTCAAGTGTCCTGCCTCTTGACATTTGTAAGGGAAAGCAGGCAGAAACGACGGCGACTGATTTGCTAGGATATTTTACTATAACAAGGACTCCGCCGATGTCGCCATCGCCATCATTACTGAGTATAACAAATCTTTTCGCAGATTACCGTTGTGTTAGGAACACAGGGCTTATCCACTTCTTTTCCGCGAAACTTGGCAACGGGACTTTGGAATCCCCGAAACGTTAATTTCTCAGGACAACCATTTCGAATTCATCTGTGCGTCGGGTCGCATGTGTCTGGGCAGCGTGTTTTGTAAATGGTTTGGGTGGAACGGGATGTTTGGGCGCCTGTGTCTCAATCTTCGGCAAATCCGCACAAGAAGAGGGCACCCAATGTCAGCCAAATCCCCGACTCTCTCTTTCGAAACTTCGCAGGCCCATTGCCGTCTGATTCGCATCGCTCTTGAAAGTGAATGACATAGGAGTCATCTGGGGCCCTTGTTTTGATCTTGGAATCGTGCAATTATTTCTGCTGACTGACCGCTTCCATCCCTACACCTTATTCCCGCATCTATGATTACTCTTTATACCGAAGGCTTCGATTCTTGAGGTCCATTCGGAATATTTTCGATTTACATCAATCAGAGACGACGCTCTTCAGATAGAACGTCCATGTAGCCCGTTGCTGTTTGGGATAGGAGAACGGTTTTCTAGATTAAGCGGCAGAAGGTGGTTACACTCTAAAAGAGTTGGTGATACTGTCGATATCCGTGGTCTTGGTGGACGGTCAAGTGCCCTGCTCAGTGGCGTTTGATATCTAAAGCTGGCAATGATGTCAATTCCATCCTAAGTAGACTTTTGGTAGCGACGGCATCACGTCCTTCCAGCTGCATTTGCTTCAGCAAGGTGGTGCGGGTAAAGAGATGGCGAAGCCACATGTTACTCTGCTTCATTCTTTGCCTGGTCTTGCCGAACTCCCACTGCCCATGATTGCATGGCGCTTCAAACAAGATACTTAATCCTATGCCACTTGTCGTGCAAGTCACTCCATATCAGTCAACGCTCACCATAAAATCTGGCAGCGGAAATCAGAGGGACGTGGTTCCTCAGAAAACAGAGAGCTTGCACGGTGATTGAGTCAAATGTCATATCCATACAATCCCGACCTCCGCTCCGGGCTCCTGGAACTCCGAACTCCGACTTCCGGAGTCCTACTTCCCTTCCGTCACTTTCTCCTTGCCGACTCCCAAGAGGTTATCCCACCTCCAGCTCGGACACCACCTTCGGTCCGACTCCGGAACATTCCGGGTCCGACCCCAACCTCGACACCTTCCAGATGAGTACGCAAAACCTATGCTCCCGACTCCGGACCTCTGCTCCGGAATCCCGTTTGCGTCTCCGTCTCCGGAACCTCCGGTCTTAGCTCCGACCTTGGACTTTGACCCCACCTCCGCTTATACCCATTGTATTGGTTAGCTCATTCCATTTAATTACGTTTGCCAATATTCCGGAGTTTAACTTCTGAGTTCGGACTTTCCAGACTTACCTCGGACCTTGCAACTATTGCATTGTCCTATTCAATTCCGCTATTCTCCCTCATTCCTATTTGGGCTGCTGCTTCCTTTCTATTCAGTCAGCTAGCCATTCCCCACTCCCATCCTCCTTCTTTCCTCCTTGGGCCTTGGCCCTTCATTCCTCCTTTGAGAAACACCATTGAGTCAAACCCTTGACCCTCGGTGTTGTTCCTCTTTCCATCTCCCTTTGTCTCCTTTCATCCTACCCTCGCTCCTTTTGATTCCGGACCCCTCCTTATATACAATGTACATAGTAACTTGTAACCTCAGTCCGAAATCGACATGAATTCCCCCAAGAGACTTTCCCTCTGCTAGATCCGAAATTAGGGACCCCTAGGACAACCAGCAATGGCACAGCGCTCCGCCTGAGTCGCTGAGGCCGAGGTCCTTCCATGCTAAGTCTCCGATTCCACTCCGGAGTCGTCCGAATCTGCACGTTCTAACACCAAAAACCTTATTTGAAACCACAACAATCATATGTATAGATACTGACAGTGTCATATCCATACAATCCCGACCTCCACTCCGGGCTCCCGGAACTCCGAAACTGATTCCGGAGCCCTACTTCCCTTCCGTCACCTTCTCCTTGCTGACTCCCAAGAGGTTATCCGACCTCCGGCTCCAACACCACCTTTGGTCCGACTCCGGAACATTCCGGGTCCGACCTCAACCTCGACACCTTCCAGACAAGTACGCAACACCTATGCTCCCGACTCCGGACCTCTGCTCCGGAATCCCGTTCGCGTCTCCATCTCCGGAACCTCCGGTCTTAGCTCCAACCTCAGACTTTGACCCCACCTCCGCTTATACCCATTGTATTGGTTAGCTCATTCCATTTAATTATGTTTGCCAATATTCCAGAGTTTAACTTCCGAGTTCAGACTTTCCGGACTTACATCAGACCTTGCAACTATTGCATTGTCCCTTTCAATTCTGCTATACTCCCTCATTCCTATTTGGGCTGCTGCTTCCTTTCTATTCAGTCAGCTGGCCATTCCCCACTCCCATCCTCCTTCCTTCCTCCTTGGGCCTTGGCCCTTCATTCCTCCTTTGAGAAACACCATTGAGTCAAACCCTTGACCCTCAGTGTTGTCCCTCCTTTCAGCTCCCTTTGTCTCCTTTCGGAGTACCCTCGCTCCTTTTGATTCCAGACCCTCCTTATATACAATGTACATACATAGTAACTTGTAACCTCAGTCTGAAATCGACCTGAAATGCCCCCTAGAGACTTCCTGCTTGCCTACTGTGAAATTAAGGACCAAATGGACAAACAGCAATGGCACAGCGCTCCGCTTGAGTCGCTGAGGCTGAGGTCCTTCCACGCTAAGTCTCCGATTCCACTCCGGAGTCATCCAAATCCGCCCCTTCTAACAGACAGCACTCCTTGCATCTACTAATCTCATTGTCCTTGTGCTGAAACGCTGAAGACACTGCCATTCAGTTTGAGGGGAACCGTCATAACAGTAGTAGCCCAGTCCAAAAGCAAATTGTGTTGTTGCACACATGTCCCCAAATGATGACGATGGGGTACGAATATGGAAGAATGTCACTGGGGATGGGAGGATGTTTCGGAACATGGCATTAGAATGATTAATACTAGATACAAGGCAGATGACAACTATGTGGGCTTTGTTGCCCAGGAAGAACCTTATTACTTGGATAGAACTGAGATGCGTCTGCACTAGCGGTATGCAGTCTTTTTTTTACACCAGATGCAAGTGCTCTGAACTCTTCCAGCCTTTGTTGATCATTCATATGCTTTGACGGAGGGTCTTCCCAGTACATTCGAAGGCGTTTCCAGCCCTCAAGATGCCAGATATCCTGGAATAGAGTGACAAGAGTGCACGGGGCCCATTTTAGCCCCCCTGTTGGCAGGTGGTACCCATGCTTGTTTGAAGATTTCATAAGGCTTGCTAAATAAGCATTGCTGAGAAAGAAGTACAATGGATCTTGGCCCCACACCGATAACCTGGAACCCGGTCTCAACTTGAGGCACTTTCCATCGGCCTCCTGTCAGGGACAGCTCTGAAAGCGGCGAGGTCCCTGCATGTGGGACTCGGTGGGATGGATAGCAGCTGTGCGTAGTGGCGATCCCATCACGGGGTGAGCGTCCCCGACCACTTAGGCTGAAGTGGGAAGTTGAGAAGAAGGCTGCTTCTTCTGTTCCCACCCCAGGCACTATTATATACATGCGGTCAGGGTCACGTGGGGGAGGCCATGTCATCTCCGCGCACAGCCACACCTCCCCGGGAGATCCCGGAGGCGGCCACTCGGTAGGCAGGAGTGTGCACGGCGCATGCGGCGGTCAGGGGAACGGGGTTAGGTATGTAGTGGTACATGGAGAAAAGGGAAATCGACCGTAGAATAGAAATAGAGAGAAAAGGGGAAAAGTGAGGAAGGAGGGATG